AAAATCATCATAAAACTGGCACAGAAAACCTATAATGCTTCTGTTTGGGTTGCAATGAGGTAAATCAAGGCAGCAAACTGTTTACTTAGAGGCACTTGTCCCAGAAAAAAAAAAAAAAAAAAATCACAGTTAAAAAGGAAACGTTTTATCTTTGGTTGCTCATGGTTCTGATTGTTGCAGCTCATTTCTCCCCTCAGGCGTCGGTACTAACAACGAGGGAATCCTGGTTCTGGGAGCCACAAATATTCCCTGGACGCTGGACTCGGCCATCAGACGAAGGTTAGCGTAGCATGCTTTTAAAACCATTTCTCCACCCTTATAGTTCATCAGCAGGGTTTCCTCACAACTGGCCTTTGTCTGGATTGTGAGAATTGCAGCGAGAAAAGATAAAGGTCTGCTGATGCTTTACTGAAGCCTTTGTTCTGCTGTTAGGTTTGAAAAGCGGATCTACATTCCTCTGCCAGAGGAGCACGCCCGCTCCTTCATGTTCAAGCTGAACCTGGGCTCCACCCCCAACAACCTGACAGAAGAGGACTTTGCCACTTTGGGAAAGAAGACAGACGGCTACTCTGGAGCAGACATCAGTGTGATCGTCAGAGACGCCCTCATGCAGCCTGTCAGGAGGGTTCAATCAGCAACTCACTTCAAAAAGGTAAAACCTCCTCCTGATTGGGCTATTTCTAACATCTGCAAAAACCTCCAACTGAAATTACTTCGTCTAAGATTAGAAAAGTCACAATTATTAAAAGAGGTGTTCTTGTGCAGTCAGTTAAGGTTCTTCAAGGTAGGGCTGCAACTAATGGTTATTTTTCAAATCCATGAATCGGTTGATTATTTTTAAAATTAATTGATTAATAATCGGATATCCAAAGACTCAACCTTATTTATCCCTTGGGATTATTCCTTCAGGGAAATACTGCTTCCAGTAGCTTATATAGAGTAAAAAGAGTTAAAGAAAGATGCCTTTAAAAAAAAAAACTTTAAAAATTTAAATTGTCTAGAGTTGTTCTTAAAGAAATTTCTTTTTGTTTACACTTATTTATACAAAATGAAAAAATAAATCTGTCTAAGTCTAAAGATAAAAATACAATAGTCAAAAGAAAACGAGTTTATAAAGTACAAAAAAGCATTAAACAAGTTATAACGTCCTGGAAAAAAAGATTCCTCAAAGATATGTTATGAAATCAAAGGAAAAGTCCGGTCAGCAATGAAGAATCAATGGATCATTATGGATTATTATTTACCCCTAAAATTAATACGTTTGCAGTGATTTAATGAATTTAGGGTTAATCAGTAAAAAAACGGGGAAAAAAGGCCCAAATATAGTAGCCCCTCCCTCCTGCCATCTTCCAGCAGTGACGTCACGGTGCGGTAAGCCTAGCGCCATTCTCCCCGCTTTCCAAGCTAAATCAATGGGAACTACTAGACACATCTGCAATCAACAACAATTATTGAAGATTTCCAGAGGACTTCACCATTGAAATTCACCAGAGCTATAGTGAAACTGACAATGCCCACGTGCATGGCAGCTGGATGCTGGAATACATCGGGTAAAAGTGAAAAAAAAGAGTTATTCCACCTTTCTGATTCCTGATCCTCCACGGACGGGTTGGTCGTTGGATCGCCAACTTGAAGAGGGAGGATTTGCCATCGAACTTCTGGCCAGAGAAAAAACCCGTAATATGTAGCCAACATTTGGAAGAAGAATGTTTTCAAGATGACTTGGATAATAGCGCGTTGTGACAAACACCAGATACAGCACTGGGACTTGATCAACAGCCGATACCGCACCGTGACAATGTCACTAACCAGTAGGTGGCAGTAGTGTTCTTTGACAAACATGGATGCCTCCAGTAAAGCACATTCACATGAAAATTACTCTGAATTAAAAACACTGATCATTTATTGAACGGGATGGAATCATTTCAGATTTAAAGAACTTTCAGAAGTTTGAATTCAGAATATGAGCGACTTTTCCTTTGTTTCATGAAAGTTTTGATAATTGTTTCAGCCCTAGTTCAAAGTTATTGCAATAAACTGTTTTCACACCAGTCTTATGAGTTCAGACGGGTATTTTTGAAAGAAATGTGTTTAAAACCCTTAAACGTTCCTATGTACTTTCAATGGTATAAGCTCAATGCACTGAGAAGTGAAATTAAGGTGCATTTCTACATTTTGCACATTTCTTTTAAGGGGAACTTATGTGGAGTGAATTTTAGTGGAAGCACTCGGGACAAATATGTTTCCTAACAGACCTGGTTCCAGGTAGAGAGAACGAACAGGATTAACAGCTTCTGATTCTGCAGTCATTCTTTGTTCTAGTATTGATTCAGTATATGTTTTTCTGTATTGTAATTTTTCAATTGAAGAAAATATTATTTCCATCTAAAAAGGATCAAGTAAAAAAAAACAAATATAGTATATTTTATTAGGAGATTAGCTCCAGATCCAAAAATTGTGCCACTTTTCCACTGCAACAACAGATGACATTTTCAGTTCTTCACTCATCCTTAGAGGCGGGAACTTTGTTTAAATAACTACTGTCTGTGGATAAAAAGAGAAAGGAGGAAATCCATTTGTTCAGTTTGGTCATCTATGCAGATTAGCATTTTTTCCCCTCGCTTCCAGACACAGTCTGCATGGATTTGTTCACGGATGTTATTCTGTTGGACTTCCGTAAAATGTGACTTTTGTTCCTATTCAGGGAAGTTTGAAATGTAGGTAAATAGTTTCTTATGGGGGTAAAATGTTATTGCGTTTATCTCAGTTCAATACGGAGGTGTATTCCATTGTTAGGGTTATTCTTTTATACATGTTGTGCATTGTTACTTTGTTAGCCAGATAGAGAGAGTAGATGGCCTTCCTTCACATTGTGGATGTCACTGTGTGTAAGTGGGTCGTCTAAATAGGACAGCCTTCTTGTCTTTTAAAGATACACAGGATATGGACACATCTTGTAGGCGGACTGGTAGAGGAGAGCTATCTGGATGGCGTGTCAGTTTCTGATACGGACAGCTAAGCATCCACCTGGTGCAACACATAGACTCATGAGCTATAAGAAGCAGGAGATGACCTTGTTCGGGGCTCAATCTTTGCCGGACGCTCGCTGACGTGATTATTGAGCCCACAGCTGTGCAAGCTCCAAGCATCTTCTCTGTCCTGTAACGACCTGATCTGGAATAAACCGTTACTTTTTTACTCCTGTTTTTATAGTCCTTTTTTATATGGTTTTACCCAGTTTGAGTTAAGAGTAGTAAATAACTTGCTCCCAGGAAAAGAACCGGTGGGGAAGTCCTGAGGCGCATCTGCCTTCAAGGGGAAATAACTTCCTCATTTAACAGCTTTAAACAAAGGAAAAAAATGTAAAAGCTTTGTTCTGATCTAAAGGTTCGAGGATCCTCATTTAACAATCCCGGCGTTGTTGTTGACGACCTGCTGACGCCGTGCTCACCCGGAGATCCCAACGCCATAGAGATGACATGGATGGAGGTTCCTGGAGAGAAGCTTTTGGAGCCCGTGGTGTCCATGGTGAGAAGACAATGGGTGATTATTTCCCTGCATTGGTGATGCGTTTGTGTGACCTGCTGGGTTCTCTGTGCAGGCGGACATGCTCCGGTCTCTGAGTAACACCAAGCCCACAGTCAACGAGAAGGACTTGGACCAGCTGAAGAAGTTTACAGAAGATTTTGGTCAAGAAGGCTAATTTACTGGAGACGGGACTTTGGTTGATTTTTTTTTTTTTTGTAAGCTATAGTTCTTATTTTGCCAATCTGGCTGATGTAATCTGAGAAAAGGACATTTCTCATGAGGTTGCAAACTTTTTAAACTGTTTGATCTGTTCCACTGAAGCTCGTGTTTACCAGATTAACTTTGCTGCTCTGCACCTTTTCAACACTACAAACGTCCATCATAGAAGGTGGATTATTTTGCACCAAGTTTACTTTTATGAATGCACTGCAAAAACTTTCTAGAATAAGTAAAATTTTCTCAAATTAAGTATATTTACCCTTGATTTGAGTATGTAAATAAGATAATTTGCCAATGGAATGAGTATTTTTACTCTTAAAATAAGATAATTAGATAATTTGCGCTTGAAATAGAACAATGCAGTTGTGTTTTCTTATTTTAAACCTAAATCGTCTTGTTCCATTGGCAATATGTCTCTTTTATCTCCTCAATTCAAGAACAAATGCACTTATTTTAAGAAAAAAGGACTTATCTAGATTTGGATTTTTTCCAGTGTGGAGGATAAGTTGGATTTACAGATTTTTCTTCATTTATCAACACAAATCAATTTTTCACTTCCTGATTCTTTTCATCTTTTGGGTCTCTGATGAATTCCAGTCTGTTTGGTGAAGCCTTTTAAAGCACTTTGAGTTCTGTTTGTGTAACCTTTTATTACTGTGTCTATTGCAGTTGGTTTATATGTTTATTAGGTGACTTTTGTGGTCAAAATTCAGTGTTTTTAGACGCTGTTAAAATCTGAGGTCATTTCTTGCATCTCATGTTCTGTGAACAAGACTCAGGGTTTAATAAAAACAACGCAAAAACAAAGCTCTCCGTTATCTTCTGCATATATTTATTTGTTAAAATACGTAATTAACATCTTGATTTAATTGATAAAAGTGAATCAGATTATTTCACACCTTTAAATATTTTATCCATAAAGGAAAAAATTGACTTCAGTGTTAATAGGAGAAAGCATTTCTTTTACATTTCTTATAAGGAAATAAAATGTCAGGTGAAACGCTGTGCATGGAGATGAAACTGAATATATATTCACATACGTTTTTTTTTTTAAGTAAATAGCTGAAACTTCACTGGAGGCTAATGTGCTAACTATATGTGCTTCAAGAAATAAAAGATTAAATCATCAATACAAACAAATACAAACAGGAAGTACAATTCAACAGCTGCCGATGAGTTAAAATGGAAGATTATAGAAAAGCCGTGTCCCTTTGAGCTTTGAATGCATATGTTTTATAATTTTTCCAACAGACCCTAAAGACGCTACGATTGAAGTATTTATTGCCTCGGTGTGTCCGGTGTTAACACCAATTCTAAATCAACCTGAATAAAGCACAAACAAATCAGAAACACAGCAGATCTGGGACTCAAACTAAAGGAAAAGGTAAACAAACGTTACAACAGAAAAAATGATGTGCACATAATGAATCCTCTTTAAATAACCTGGAAAGGATAATAGTTACTGTTTTGGTTAGGAGATATTTCTACGCACACATCACAAAGGAACAACACTGCCTGGGAGTTTGCTAAAAGTGTTCGCTCCGTCTATCACAGCCATGTCTGCGTCATGAGGACCAACAGACACGCCTCATTCGACAGGAGCTCATACAGCAGATACAGTTAGTGAAGCAGCGCAGGTTAGAAGACGGAGAAGAGAGAGCCGAGCGCCAGGCCAGTGGCTGCTCCTGCCAGCATGCCCAGAGCCACGTCCCCTGCGTCGTCACGCTGCCGCTCCTGAATAATGACGTGGTTCACTCCTGGGGCCGCGTACCCACCTTCAAAACAGAACAAACTGATGGATTAATCCGGCCTTCAGCGGCTAGCAGCTTCTAACTGCTGCAGTTCTGCTAGACCAGGCATCCCCATAGTGGGTCCTGAAGGGGCTCCTGTCCTGCAGGTTAGAGGCTGATTCTGATGATTGCAGTTCAAACAAAGCCTGTTAATCAACCATCAATGGAAATCAGCTGTGCAGGAGCAGGAAATCTCTAAATCCTGCAGGACAGCGGCCCTCCAGCACCCACTTTAGGGATCCCTGTGCTAGACGACGTGCAGTTAGTTACCTTGGTAGTGATATGGATAAGCTACAGCGTAGGTTTGCCCGTCCCCAGAGTACATAATCTGAGTGGGATGAGCAGGTTGAGCGGTGTAATCTCCATATGGTCGTGGGGCATAAACCTGGAGGGAAAAAAAAGAAAAAAAAAAATATTTTATTTTGGCTTAAATCTGCAAGGGTTGGTGATACAGATAGTCCCTTCCACTCCTTCTCCACCAGATGGCGATAAAACTTAGCTTTGACCAAATCATTGCTCTTCTAAGATACTAACTTTGGATTTCCCCTTTTTTTTTCTTTTTTATTATAAAATGAAAAATAAAGCAATATATAAAACAGCGTCAGAATATGGAGAGTATTTCCTATTGAAGTGTTAACCCCGGTTATTCCTTCTACCTGTGGTTGGGCATATTCTGAGTACGGGGGAGGAGCAGATGCCACGACTTCCTGCGCAAAGCCGATCTGAGGAGCAGCTGACACCTGGAAACATCAAACCACTAAAATGAAACCTACACAGTTTATTAGCAACTATCCTGAGCTATTTGCTCTAAGAAGTGCAACAGTCAGCAGCATCGAAGGTCTGCAAGTCAAAGTCCTTCAACTTTTGCATATTTTGTTTATATATATATATATATATATATATATATATATATATATATATATTTTATTTTATTTTTTTCATAATAGACCAACACAGATGTTGTATAAATGCACGATTAAAGGTAAATGAGACAAATTTCTAAATGTTACACATGAAAAATCTAAAAAGAAAATGCTAAAAAGTATAACATGTTTGTTTTTTTTTACCTAACCCCTCCTTCCATCTCAATCAACTGCATTCAAACATCTCATTGTTAATAAAGCTCAGCTATCTGTAACACAAACAGTCCCATTTTCAGTTTGTCATGCGTCACCTAGGAAACAGATTGAACGTGTGTTAGAAGGTAAGCTGGTCAGGACTTATAGTTATTTAGGGTGGAAATATAACAATAAAAAAACACACCTAGAACACAGCATGCCCCATGCACAACATGGTAGTGGCAGCATTATGCTTTGGAAAACTGGTCACTTTGTGGAAGATAAGTGAGCTAATTTTGAACAATCCTCAAAGAAAACTTGGAGGTAAAGACTTGAAAAGGGTCAGAATGGCCTAGTCAAAGTCCTATAGGTGTATCAAATTAAGATTTTTAAGATCGTAAAGGCTGATTTTCACAGGTGCAAACTTTAATCTGACTCAGCTTAAGCTATTTAAAAAAAGAAAGAGTAAAATCCTCATCTCCTGATATTAAAAGCTAAAGACATACCACTTATAATGTGGCTTTAAAAAGTACTGACATGCACACTCCACACCTTGCAGTTTTTATTTAAAAATTAAAAAAATACACTAATGTATTTACCTTTTTTCTTTCAGCACAAAACTCTACAGCGCTTTATTTTTAATCAAATACTTTGAACATGTGACAAAAACAGAAAACACTTGAAGATTTCTAATACTTGAAGTCAAAAAGTTATTTTTCTTTACAAATAAAACCACCGAGTATCACTTCAAAATGTCCAAAACACTCACCGTATTAATTCTGGCGTCCTGCAGAGCCATGGTCCAAGCTCTGCCACCAAAGATAGAAACCACATTCATCAGAGAGCAAAAAAAAGCTACACATTTACTTTAAACTACTAGTCGTCCCTCTGGCAGGTTTCAATTTAAAACCATTTTCCAAACAGCCAAGAAGTTTGTTTCTAATAGCAAAAGAGATGGGCTTTAATTAAAATAAAAACAAACACATTGATTTAAAGAAATGTAATGTTGAAAATCACCAAAAAAGTCTTATTATTCAAAAACAACTGGAATTGGTTTTCCAGCATCAGGCTACTTATGCATACTTTCACTACATACACTATATTGCCAAAAGTATTTGCTCACCTGCCTTGACTCACATATGAGCTTAAGTGACATCCCGTTCCTAATCCATAGGGTTCAATATGACGTCGGTCCACCCTTTGCAGCTAGAACAGCTTCAACTCTTCTGGGAAGGCTGTCCACAAGGTTTAGGAGTGTGTTTATGGGAATTTTTGACCATTCTTCCAGAAGCGCATTTGTGAGGTTGCACACTGATGTTGGACGAGAAGGCCTGGCTCTCAGTCTCCGCTCTAATTCATCCCAAAGGTGTTCTATCGGGTTGAGGTCAGGACTCTGTGCAGGCCAGTCAAGTTCATCCACACCAGACTCTGTCATCCATGTCTTTATGGACCTTGCTTTGTGCACTGGTGCACAGTCATGTTGGAAGAGGAAGGGGCCAGCTCCAAACTGTTCCCACAAAGTTGGGAGCATGGAATTGTCCAAAATGTCTTGGTATGCTGAAGCATTCAGAGTTCCTTTCACTGGAACTAAGGGGCCAAGCCCAGCTCCTGAAAAACAACCCCACACCATAATCCCCCCTCCAACAAACTTTACACTTGGCACAATGCAGTCAGACAAGTACCGTTCTCCTGGCAACCGCCAAACCCAGACCCGTCCATCAGATTGCCAGATGGAGAAGCGCGATTCGTCACTCCAGAGAACGCGTCTCCACTGCTCTAGAGTCCAGTGGCGGCGTGCTTTACACCACCGCATCCGACGCTTTGCATTGCACTTGGTGATGTATGGCTTGGATGCAGCTGCTCGACCATGGAAACCCATTCCATGAAGCTCTCTGCGCACTGTTCTTGAGCTAATCTGAAGGCCACATGAAGTTTGGAGGTCTGTAGTGATTGACTCTGCAGAAAGTTGGCGACCTCTTCGCACTATGCGCTTCAGCATCCGCTGACCCCGCTCCGTCAGTTTACGTGGCCTACCACTTCGTGGCTGAGTTGCTGTCGTTCCCAAACACTTCCATTTTCTTATAATACAGCTGACAGTTGACTGTGGAATATTTAGGAGCGAGGAAATTTCACGACTGGATTTGTTGCACAGGTGGCATCCTATCACAGTTCCACGCTGGAATTCACTGAGCTCCTGAGAGCGACCCATTCTTTCACAAATGTTTGTAAAAACAGTCTGCATGCCTAGGTGCTTGAATTTATACACCTGTGGCCATGGAAGTGATTGGAACACCTGATTCCAATAATTTGGATGGGTGAGCAAATACTTTTGGCAATATAGTGTATGTTGACTTTTTACATCTGACTATAAGCTCCACATATGTGAGGAATGAAAGAATCTCTGCTACTGAAATATGACTTTAAACCTAAATGTTGGGGCTAATGTGCATTTAATCACTAATATAATAACTAGAGTGTATTTCCTGCCTTACAAGGCATCATCTGCACTGTCTGCACACAAGCTGATGACCCGTCCATCTCTGCACACTATCTGGAACAAGGAATCACGTGTTTTCCCATCTGGAGGGTTTAGCTCTAGAAGGAAGGAGGAAAATACAAAGGTGACACATTTAAAACCGTATCAAAGTCGTCAGCTAGAAGACTTGGCGTCTGTTTAATAAGCAAACAAAAATAAACCATGTGACAATACCCTGACAAGCGGCGGAGCTACGGATGTTAATGCAGTGGACTCTCATGTGGATGTCATCCTCCATGTCACGCCGCTGTTGGTCGTTGTAGAACACCAGGCGTCCGTCCACCCATAAGTCAAACCAGTTTCTTTTCCAGCGGCGAAGGATGGAGCCTTTAGGGGAACAAAATCAGACTCCAGTTAAGTTTGTGCAAATAATTTGCCACAAGTCTATAAAGTCTGCTTACTTTGTCTGTGGAGCCAACCGCTCTTTACGATAGCCATGTCAGAAGCAACGCCTAAAGGGAAGAAATGTAAATATTAGACTCTACAGCTAGGAGGCTGGTGACAGGAGGGGCATGTCTGAGATAAACCTTTGGAGAAGCCTTAAATAGAATAGAATAGAATAGAATAGAATAGAATAGAATAGAATAGAATAGAATAGAATAGAATAGAATAGAATAAAATAGAATAGAATACGGGGATGGGAAATTTCTGGTGTTTACAGCAGCAAAAAGATTATAGAGAAAAATGGTCACACCAATTTAGATCTTAGAGAAAATAAAAAAAGAATAACATAAAAGTGAACAGTTAAAATATAAACAATAAAACAAGCAGTATATAAATAAAGAAAAAAATATATACCTAATTTGTTTGATAACTTTATAATTTTACAGTCACATAGCATAAAGCAACCAAGACAATTACTGCAGATATTCCAGCTTGGGTGAAAATATAAAAATACTTTATTGACTTTGTCCTAAAGTATTAAAATCTTCATTTAAGAGCAACCTTTTTATTTACTTTGACTCTCTAAATGATTTAGCTTTATTCAATAGAGCTATAGGAAAGAAGAGAGAGAGAACATGATGAAATGATGAATAACGGGATGCAGTTTTTAGCTTTTTGCTTCCTATAAATAGCTAACCAACAGCAGACTCGCTAGCGCTCACTTTAAATGTTTATAGTCAGAATCAACATTACAACACTGACTTCATTAGTTCTTATATTACGTTAACGAGGCGTTATTTTTGGTCTAGATACTTACTTGAGTCCTTAAATGTTTTGGACGAGATAACCTTTTCTTGAGGATACAGAAAACGCGGAAGTGATATGAAAAAAACTAAGATGCGTTACTCGGAGCAAGAAAAGCCTATATAGCTATCCGCTATGTCTTCTTTCTGGGATGGGTGTTAACCCCGCCCACACAGCATCTTTACGAACCAACAGTCTCTGTGCGGAGGGAGGGTGCGTTTGTTTTCACTGACGTCACCGATCAGCTGACCGTGGTGGAAAATGCTAGCAAACGAAGGGAGGTGCGTTTGATTATAACTCCACGTTCCTGATGCACACATGGGACGATAAACGACAGGTTATCATTAATTTGACCAAAATGTTTAAGTGTTTCACGAATAAATTCGACAATTCCGAAAGATTTTTAAATGTTTTAAGCAATTAGAAAAAAAAGTCTTAAATTTACAGTAAAATACATCTTATCAATTGTTTAAAAAAATTATATCTGAATCTGATGCTTATTTCACAATATATTTTGGGGATATTTCATGGTCCATTCTAGGGTAAGAATAAAGTAAAAATTCATTTTTAAAATAATAATAATAAAAAAAAATTTTTAAATAAAAGCTTTTGTTTTATTTTTATTATTACAAAAAAAAATCTAGTGTAATTTTTCAGAAAGAGGTGGTCGGGATGAAACACAATATTTCTACGGGCTTTTTAATGCCAAAAGAAAAGAACTACTATTTATACATTTTTAGCCACACACCAAATCTTATATTAATATTTTTTAATTTCCCCAGAGGTCAGTTTTTATTTTATTGTATTTTACAGTTCCAATAACGACTCAGGACTTGCTTTTGTAATCAAATTTTGATATAAAAATATTAAAATAAAGAGACTCAATATTTGGTCGTAATTTAAATGTTTCTTCCATGATACAAACTTCCAGCTGTGAAACATGCCTCTCCGTGCCATATTAACGGCCAGCCCGGTAGTTAAAACAAGCGCTCCTTAGTACTAGTAGTTAGCAAGCCGAGGAGAGTACGCAGAAGCTAAATAGATATCTCAAAATGGCAACGGCCATTTATTTGGAGCATTATCTTGACAGTGAGTATTTTAAAAATGATCTTCGTCGTGATGGAACTGTCACGTAAAACTTTGTTTGAAGTTTAGTTTTATTTATTTATTTATCGAAGGACATGATTGCTGGGCAGGAAAGGCTCGTTAGCTAGTAGCTCGCCTGCTAGCAGAGTAGCGCCGCTCAAATGGAAATAAAGTGTCTTAAAGTGCCTTTTTATCGTGTGCATTTTACCGATAGAAAAAATAATAATGAAGTGATCCTGGAAAGTGATATGAATTACGAAAACAATTTAAAACATCAGCCATTTTGTTTTGGTAAATTAATAAATACGTCCTTAAAGATTAAAATCTAAGAGAAACATTCATTTTCTTTAGATTTAGATTTATATATATAAATATGTTTTTTTTTTTGTTGTTGTTTTTTTTTAAGTTTGGGGACGTCTTAGTAAATATTGCACCATGCATGTGCAACCTGTTGGAGACAGCCGCGTTTCCACTCACTGCAGGGTGGGGGGGGGCTTCACCATGATCACCATGATCATGGTGGGGGGGGGGCTTCACCATGATCACCCATCCTCACAGGGAAATCCACTTTAAGATGGAAAGCTCTGTGCTCAGAGCATCTAAGTTCTCTGGGATCCATAGAGAATATTTTTCTGGGTTCAATGAATCCAGCAGAGGTGTAGAAATGGTCCTTATGACTCATCTAACGGGCTGACATGTTAATGAGACCACATCCCATATATACACCACGTGTTAGAAAAACAGATCAAATTTGGTTTATCTTTAAAAAAAAAGCCTTATCACAACTTTAATTTTACAGTTTTATGTACAACAGAGTATAAGGGTCAGGCTGAAGATTTTGTTTTTCTTCTATTTTTAGAATAAAGTTGTGATATTATAAGAATAAAGTTGTATTTTATGACAACTTTTACGAGAAGCCCTGTCTTTCCTAAAGTGAGGAATGTGAAGCATCATGTGAAGTTCTACTTTAGCATCGGTTTGATAAATCAGGAAATGTTTTAGCAGCAGCATCAAACTGGGTAGGATGTCAAAGTGGACTCTGGTTGCTGATTGGTGGAGCTGGTCGGCTTTTATCTGCTGGGCGGAGCTCCAAGCTTTCTTTCTGAAACGGGTTGTGGTTTATGACTTTATTCTCGTAGTGTTAGGACTTTGTTCTCATGATGTTAAGAATTTATTCTCGTAATGTTAAGACTTTGTTCTTGCAATGTAAAGAATTTATTCTTGTAATGTTTCGACTTTATTCCTGTGATGTTAAGAATTTATTCTCGTAATGTTAAGACTTTGTTCTTGCAATGTAAAGAATTTATTCTTGTAATGTTACGACTTTATTCCTGTGATGTTAAGAATTTATTCTCGTAATGTTAAGACTTTGTTCTCGTAATGTTAGGACTTTATTCTCGTGATGTTAAGAATTTATTCTCGTAATGTTAGGACTTTATTCTCGTGATGTTTAGAATTTATGCTCGTAATGTTACAACTTTATTCTCATGATAAGAATTTATTCTCGTAATGTTAAGACTTTGTTCTCGTAATGTTAGGACTTTATTCTCGTAATGTTAGGACTTTATTCTCGTAATGTTAGGACTTTATTCTCGTAATGTTAGGAATTTATTCTCGTAATGTTAAGACTTTGTTCTCGTAATGTTAGGACTTTATTCTCGTAATGTTAGGACTTTATTCTCGTAATGTTAGGACTTTATTCTCGTAATGTTAGCACTTTATTCTCGTGATGTTAAAAATTTATTCTCGTAATGTTAAGACCTTATTCTCGTAATGTAAAGAATTTATTCTTGTAATGTTACGACTTTATTCCCGTGATGTTAAGAATTTATTCTCGTAATGTTAGGACTTTATTCTCGTGATGTTAGGACTTTATTCTCGTGATGTTAGGACTTTATTCTCGTAATGTTAGGACTTTATTCTCGTGATGTTAAGAATTTATTCTCGTAATGTTACGACTTTGTTCTCGTAATGTAAATAATTTATTCTCTTAATATTAGCACTTTATTCTCGTAATGATACGACTTTATTCTTGTAATTGTCCAAATACAATCAGAAAAAACACTGTTATTAACTGAAATTATGAGATCGGATACACAAGATTTTCTTAAAATTTTCACGATGTGACGAGAAAAAGATGAATATATTGTTGGGTTCATTTTAAGTCCAGAGGCATTCCCATCATCATTCTAATGTTAATTATAACGTTCATGGAAAGCTGCCTAGTAAGGTGAGATCCATAACGTTTAGATGTTGCTCGCTCTATTAACTGCTGCTATATCGTAGACATCCATTTTTTTCTTTTTCATTTCATTAACAAATATGTCAAATAAAATAGCCTAATGCTGGACTTGAATCATATGTATTTGTTAAATAAACCAGAAGTGCATATTTTCATTTTACTCCTTTCTAGGTATTGAAAATCTACCATGCGAGTTACAGAGGAACTTCACTTTGATGCGGGAATTGGACAACAGAACCGAAGGTGATTATGTTCACTGATAACTTCACGACTTTTCTATTTTCTACTTGCAGTGGCAAGCTTTTTTGCAATATTTTGAAATAGAAATATGAAAGTTTCTTAATTAGCTTTGGAGCTGTGGTGGCAACGGCGAGTTTACTCGTCTCTCTATCATCCGATATGCAGAAAAGAAAGGAGAGATCAACAAACTGGCGGAGGAGTACATAGCAAATGTGAAGAACCTGGCCTCGGAGCAGAGAGTGGAACATCTGCAGAAGATCCAGAACGCCTACAGCAAGTGCAAAGAATTCAGCGATGACAAAGTGCAGCTTGCAATGCAGACATATGAAATGGTCAGTCTGAACTCAGGATTCCGCTTAACTGTCAGATCTTAATTCCTTTCAGTAAACGTTTCTAGATCATTCAAAGGTAACGGTCATGCTAACTAAGACCAGCTTTAATTGTTCTGATTGAAAGGTTTGTGTTTTTTTTGTTGTTATTTTACTGCAGGTGGATAAACACATCCGCAGACTTGATGCAGATCTGGCTCGGTTCGAGAATGAGCTGAAGGAGAAACTAGAGCTGAGTGGTTATGAAAGTACAGAAGGAAGGGGACTGAAGAGTAAGTGGAGCAACTATAAGGCTTTATCTGTGCAAGTCTGCATCGAAAGTTTTTTTTTTATGAGTAAATGTGTTTTTATTTTTCCCCAGAGAACGATATTAGGGGCCAGAAAGATAAGCGTGGATCCAGGGGTCGAGGAAGGAAGGGTTCTGATGAAGATTCTCCCAGGAAGAAGAAGAAGAGCAGGTATCTTTGCAGGGTGGATTATTAAAGGAAAAGTCTGGTCAGCAGGGAATAATCAATAGATTATTATTTATACCTAAAAATAATAAGTTCCATGTGATTTAAGGAATTTCAGTATTTCAGTAAAAAAATAATGATTTTGATCACGATCACTGAGTCTGGGAGCGGCCATTTTTGCCCAAATATAGTAACCCCTCCCTCCTGCCATCTTCCAGCAGTGACGTCACGGTGCGGTAAGCCTAGCGCCATTCTCCCCGCTTTCCAAGCTAAATCAATGGGAACTACTAGACACATCTGCAATCAACAACAATTATTGAAGATTTCCAGAGGACTTCACCATTGAAATTCACCAGAGCTATAGTGAAACTGACAATGCCCACGTGCATGGCAGCTGGATGCTGGAATACATCGGGTAAAAGTGAAAAAAAAGAGTTATTCCACCTTTCCGATTCCTGATCCTCCACGGACGGGTTGGTCGTTGGATCGCCAACTTGAAGAGGGAGGATTTGCCATCGAACTTCTGGCCAGAGAAAAAACCCGTAATATGTAGCCAACATTTGGAAGAAGAATGTTTTCAAGATGACTTGGATAATAGCGCGTTGTGACAAACACCAGATACAGCACTGGGACTTGATCAACAGCCGATACCGCACCGTGACGTCACTAACCAGTAGGTGGCAGTAGTGTTCTTTGACAAACATGGATGCCTCCAGTAAAACACGTTCACATGGAAATTACTCGGAATTAAAAACACTGATCATTTATTGAACAGGCTGGAATCATTTCATATTTAAAGAACTTTCAGAAGCTTGAATTCTGAATATGACCAGACTTTTCCTTTAAAGCTCATGATTGACAGGATTTAGTTTGTTTTTTAATGGTCCTGTATGCACCATGTTGTTGTTTTTTAGTCCAGACCTGAGTGATGCTCTCCTGCCTATGCAACCATCAGACGTTCTGGACATGCCAGTGGATCCCAATGAACCTACATACTGCTTGTGTCATCAGGTTTCATATGGAGAGATGATTGGCTGTGATAACCCTGACGTAGGTTTTAAACTTCATTTTATTTTTCATTTTTCTCTCCCTAACAAGTTCAGATGAAACCTTCTGGAGCTTGACATGATTTTTCTTCTTCTCTCAGTGTCCCATTGAGTGGTTTCACTTTGCCTGCGTCGACCTCGCCACAAAGCCGAAAGGAAAGTGGTAAGAGTCGTACTGTTAACTAAAACAGATGAACATTTAGCCAAGGACTTAAATCGACTTCACTCTCTAAACATTTCTCCTTCTTCTCTCCCTCAATCTCACAGGTTCTGTCCTAGATGCACGCAGGACAGGAAGAAGAAGTGAGATTTCCTCTCAGATGTTTAACTACTACGTGTTGTCGGTGCCACTAAATAGTCTTTTATGTATTTGTTTCGGCAATAATCCGTAAAAAAAAAGTGGCTCATACAGCTTTCCTTAAAAACCTTAGATTTGGTGTAAAGCTATATTTGTGACAACCAGCTTCCTGATGTTCCCTTCCCTCTTTAAATTTGAGCACATCTGTCTTTGTCTTGTAGCTTTAAATCAAATTGTTTTAAAATATATTTACTGTATGTTCTGGGTCTTATCAGAATGTCCCTTCCTTTAAATAAGAAGATGTAAATGCTCTCATCGCTATAAAGTCAGAGATCCCAGATTGTTGCTTTTAGCGTACTTGAAATGTCAATTTTATAAACAACTTTTTTTTTTATATAAAATAAAAGCCTGCTGAAAATTAAATATATCAAACACCTATATCCTTAGCTACACAATGATGGTAAAATTATATTGTTTTAGTTGTTTTTTGTTTTTTTATTTGTTACTACCTCTTTAGGGTTTACTACGACGAAATATTAGGGCCAGGCTCGAGATTTTTTTATTTTGAGAATAAAGTAAAATTGGCGATAATAAATTAGTAACATTGCGAGAATAAAGTCGTAACATTGCGAGAATAAAGTCGTAACATTGCGGGAATAAACATTGCGAGACTAAAGTCGTAACATTGCGAGACTAAAGTCGTAACATTGCGAGACTAAAAATTACGAGAATAAAGTCATAACATTGCGAGAATAAAGTCGTAACATTGCGGGAATAAACATTACAAGAATAAAGTCATATAATTGCGAGAATAAAGCCGTAACATTGCGAGAATAAAGTTGTAACATTGCGGGAATAAACATTACAAGAATAAAGTCAAATAATTGCGAGAATAAAGCCGTAACATTGCAAGAATAAAGCCGTAACATTGCGGGAATAAACATTACAAGAATAAAGTCATATAATTGCGAGAATAAAGCCGTAACATTGTGAGAATAAAGCCGTAACATTGCGAGAATAAAGTCGTAACATTGCGGGAATAAACATTACGAGAATAAAGTCGTAACATTGCGAGACTAAAGTCGTAACATTGCGGGAATAAACATTACAAGAATAAAGTCATAATTACGAGAATAAAGCCGTAACATTGCGAGAATAAAGTTGTAACATTGCAAGACTAAAGTCATAACAAGAATAGTCATATAATTACGAGAATAAAGTCGTAACATTGCGAGAATAAAGTCATAACAAGAATAGTCCTATAATTACGAGAATAAAGTCGTAACATTGCAAGAATAAAGTCATAACACTGCGACACTAAAGTCGTAACAATGCGAGACTGAAGTAACGCTGCGAGACTACAGTCATAACATTGCGAGAATAAAAATTACGAGAATAAAGTCATAACAAGAATAGTCATAATTAGGAGAACAAAGTCGTAACATTGCGAGAATGAAGTCATAACGTTGCGAGAATAAAGTCGTAACAAGATTAGTGATAAAATTACAGGAATAAAGTAACATTGCGAGAATAAAGTTGCGACAAGAATAGTCATAAAATTACGAGAATAAAGTTGTATTTTATGACGGAATGTGGAGCATCATGCGAAGTTCTACTTTAGCATCGGTTTGACGAATCAGGAAATCTTTTAGCAGCAGCATCAAACTGGGCAGTATGTCAAAGTGGACTCTGGTTGCTGATTGGTGGAGCTGGTCGGCCGTCATCTGCTGGGCGGAGCTCCAAGCTTTCTTTCTGGAACGGGTTGATGTTTAATGACTTTATTCTCGTAATGTTACGACTTTATTCTCATAATAAAAACAAAAAAACTGCTAGCCTGGCCCTGATACTCTGTCCTAGATTACAGTAGAACTGCATAAATGACTGCAAGTGGGGGAAAAAAGGGTGCGGGGTCACAATCAGCTTCAACCAAACTGGCAAAGAAGAAATATAAACTCAACACAAGCCTATGACATCTTTGAATGTATCGCAGTTCTTCTGGTCGGTTTTCTTCTGTCGCCTGAATGAGGTTTTTTAAGCACTTTGAATAAAATTGTTGCCCCTGAAGAGATTTAAAACAATACTCAAGACATGATTTATAAATGTTAATCTACTATTGAATGGCTGTTGTTTTCTTTCCTAAGTTGTACGACTATGAGGGAAAAATGTATCCTTCACATAAAAACAGACATGGAAGAAAAATGTATTTTGTATAAAAACTATTTTGTAGACGCATTGTTCCTAAAACCTATTTTATCATGTTAAAGTGCTGACGACTCTGATTTAATTTAAATGGACTTTAGCTTCCTTCGTATTTGACTGTGAATATCCCTCATTTAAGTGTAAACCACAAATATAAAAACCAAAGTCTATGTATTTTGTAAAATTCTTGTATTTTATAACAAATAAATTTTCATTATTAATCCTACATGGTTTGCCTGTGTGATGATATGAGATATCTCAGGGTTTTTTTTCCATTTAAATGATTTTATGAAAACCATCTGTGTTGTCTGGGCTTTTACTGAAACGTTTATCAGCGTGTTTGTCAGGTGGAAGAACTAACCAGCGGAATAAACAGTTTCTGACGGCTTGAGTCTCCAATAGATTTAAAGATGCCAAGGTAACCTCAACCCCCTTTACTTGGGAACATATAGGAACACATATTCAGTCAACAATTCCCTCTAACGACCCCCCTTTCAGAGACATAGACAGGTATGGGGCATTGCAGGCTAACAAAGAAGCCAAACGACCCCCATTCCAAAGGGGGGGGCCCGTTCATCCGTTTCTATTTGCATGTTTTCTAAACTAAAACCAGGCTTTGTTGGGCTGCTGGATAAAACCTGGAACTAAACGCTATTTCTGACATTTTGGATTGAAAAAGCTTCCTGGATGGAAGAGAAACGTCTTCAAACTTGGAAACAAAGTCCAGAGGATTGATTTTAATGACTATGGAATGACTATGACCTGGATGACTGAGAATCTTCGCCAGCATGCCAAGGTAGACCACCATTTACGTCTCCTTCAAAGTGATCAGGCCCCTGCTTCAAACCTTCTCTGACTCTGTGGTGGCATCAGGGGGGGATTTACCATTAGGCAACACTAGGCAGTTGCCTAGGGCCCCAAGTTCCTGGGGGCCCCATAAAACTCTGTTTCCATGTATGGTTAATACAACTATTCCTTATTTGTGCACATTAATTATGTTTTTGATAAAAATCCTTTGGCTTAAATTCCATCAGGACGCTGATAAATAGAGAGGAAAAAGGGACAAGAAGAGAGGGACAAAACCTAGAACAAATAATGGATGTCTATTCTATTAACATTTCTCTATCTGTAGAATGGGTCTGTTTTATGGGTTTTCTTCTCAGGGGGCCCCCTGCCTGTCTGCCTAGGGCCCCAAATTTCCTAAATCCGCCCCTGGGTGGCATCAGCCCTCCTCTACGCTGTCGTCTGCTGGGCCCCTGGCAGCGCAGAGCAGGACAGAAAGAGACTGAATAAGCTGGTGAGAAAGGCCGTTTCTGTCCTAGGCTGCACTCTGGACTCAGTGGCTGAGAGGAGGATGCTGTCCAAGCTTCCATCCATCATGGAGAACACCTTCCACCCTCTGCAGCAGACTGGAGAGGAGCTGAGCAGCTCCTTTAGTCAAAGGCTTTTACACCCTGTTAGGAAAAAGGAGCGCTACTGCAGGTCATTCATCCTGCTGCAACCAGACTCTACAATGAGACGCTACAACCCCAATAACTGCTGCAATGGAGAATGAGAAATTACTATTTGATACCCTGTGCAATAACCCACCAACCATCCATCCATCCATCTTCTTCCTCTTATCTGGGGTCGGGTCGCAGTGGTAGCAGCTTCAGTAGGGAGGTTCAGACGTCCCTCTCTCCAGCCTCTTGGTCCAGCTCCTCCAGGGAAATCCCAAGGCACTCCCAGTCCAGCTGAGAAACATAGTCTCTCCAGCGTGTCCTGGGTCTCCCCCTGGGTCTCCTCCCAGTGGGACGTTCCTGGAACATCTCACCAGGGAGGCGTCCAGTAGGCATCCTAACCAGATGCCCGAGCCACCTCAGCTGGCTCCTCTCCATGTGGAGGAGCAGCGGCTCTACTCTGAGTCCTCCCTGGATGGTTTAGCTCCTCCCCCTATCTCTAAGCGAGAGCCCACACACACTATGGAGAAAACTCATTTCAGCCGCTTGGATCAGGGACCTAATTCTTTCAGTCATTAGACCCAAAGCTCATGACCACAGATGAGAGTAGGAACGTAGATCGACCGGTAAATGTGCAATAACCTGTTTCTCTATATCTGACACGCAGTGCAATAACTATATATATATATATAAATATAAACATCCATCTATATAAATACCCATGTTAACACCCTCTGATATAACAAATAAATCCAAATATTCAATAAAAAGCATTTGTGTGAGTTTTGTCCCTTAACATTTCACTGAGTTTATGCATTTAGGACCTTTTTTCCATCTATCTCATCATTTCTCTCTAAATCATCCTTATAATTTGGTCTTTTATTGTGCTCTTTTCTCTTCAGCTCATCCCACATGTGTTCTGGTTTTGAACTCTTGGGATCGTCTTAAGAAATAATTGAGTTTGGGGAAAGATTTCTTTGTTAAAGGTAAAGGTAGTAAAGGATTTTCGCAAATTTTTTTAAAAGACCTTCCCTCTCCACTTAAAACAAATGCCCATGCACAACCCTGTACCCGCTCCTGAGGGGGAGCACCTATGAAACGCATGCGAGAGCGTGAACAAGCCCATTTCTCCTCCTGCAAGCTCTGTTTAATAGTTGCTGTTCTCATGGCTCATATAAGCTTACTGTCCGCCCTAACCCCTAAATCCCTCCATCACTGTATAGAGCGAGGACTATATAGTGAACTTTATAGTGAACTCAGATCATGCATAATAGCTGTCATATGTGGATGCATTGTATTTACTGTATATATCCCATCCACCACCTTCTTCCTTAGGCACCTTCTGCATTTCTCCACTGTGACATTAATAAAGTCAATCAATCAATCAATCAATCAATCAATCAATCAATCAATCAATCAATCAATCAATCAGTTTCATTATAACTGAGCTGAATTGTCTGAGCTGGAGGAGCATTTTATGGCAACAATGACTGTAAATAAGCCTTTTTTTAACCTTAGTAGTTTGTGGAAAAAAAAAATATTACCCTTAGTAGACGTAACAGGATCCACTACCAGTCCAGACCTCTTACAGCCCTGGGCGCGCTCTGTGTCCTGCGTTTTTATTCTCCCACAATGTTTACATTTGATCAATTATGGAATCAAAAAGGGGTCAAAATGTTTGTAAACTTCTGAATCTTAGTTAAAACAGAAAAATAGAAGTTGATATTTAATGTGAAATTTTTACCTAACAATGTAAGGTAATCTTAAAAAGCAAACAAATTTTGTTTTAATAATTTAATCTAAATTGAGTTTAGTATATTAATTACTTTTTCTTTTTTTTTCTTTATTGCAGTTTTAGATTTTATATTTTCAGATTCAAATCCATTTCTTTCAGTTTCTATTTTTTTAGTTTCAAATTCACTTTTTCAGCTTTGAGATCTTTTTAAATTTTTTTTTTTGCATTTTACATTGTCAGTTTTTTTCACCTTCAGATTTTGACCCTAATCTGACAGGAGTGGGCGGGGAAACGTGATTGACAGTTTGCAAAATGTCCTGTTCCATGTTGCATTTAACTATTTATCCAGTGTTTTCACAGGATTTTCCCAAAATCTACAGAGAATGTTGGAATTCCCACAGTCCATGAAGGCAACATGGAACGGGACATCTCTCCAGCGCCGCTGCAAGCTTTCAATCACGTTTCAAGATTGGGGTCAAAATCTGAATGAGAAAACATCTTAATTGAAAGTGTAAAAAAATTCCTGAAACTGAAAAGGGAATTTGAAACAAACAAAAAAAATTGAAACTGAAGAGGGATTTGAAACAGAAAATCTAAAACTGCAATAAAGAAAATAAATTTCAAGCTGAGGGGAAGAATTTAGATTCAATTCTTATTAATTTATGTTTCCTGTTTTAATTTCTCAGATAAGGTAAAATATCACCTTATACTTTATTTTTAACTTTCATATTTTACTAAGATTTATAAATTTACAAACATTTTGACCCCTTTCTGACTTCATAATCATTGCAGCACTTAAAGAAATGGAAATCTCATGAGAGCTGTACAAATCAAAATGACTTTCATTTCATTTATAAAACAACAGTAAAGTTCGTCTGAGGCTCTAAGTGGAGGAAAAGCTTCTTTATTGAGTTTAGAGTTAACACAATAAAGCTTCTGGTACAAGCTTTGGAAGAGTCTTGTTTTTGGGTTTTTTCTGTGGATTTTTGAACTAAATTCTTAAAGAGTTTTTAAAATTCATCATCCGATTCTTCGTCCCAGCTGCACTTTTCCTGACTGGGTTTGTCAAACTCCACCTCCAGGTTATACACAAAGTCCGGGTCATCTTTCCACTTGCGGTTCCTCTCAAACAGTGTGTCCATCTGACCCTTTTTGCGCGCTAACTCCTCGTCATCTAGCTTGTTCAGATCTTCCTCTGGGTCCAGTTGGAACGAAGCAAGACTTTCCTCCAGGCTCAGACCGCGCATGTGATCTCGCAGGATCATCAGGAGTTTCTCCAACTGACTTTGAGGTACTTGATCCAGATACTCGCGGTGCCTTGGCTGGTTTTTCAATCTTTCAGCCGCCATGCTGCAGTCTGAAAAATAGACACCATCACAAGATATGAGTTCCAGGGAGAAAAAATAAAAAATAAGCATACCTCTTCTTTTTTTATATTTTGTCAAAACCAAAAACTTTATTGCATTTTACTGTGGCAGAACAACACAAAATAGTAAATAACTTCTAAATGCCATAACCAGGATGAAACATGGCAATAGCAGCATCATACTGTGAGGATAGTCTTCTTCTACAAAATAATGAAGCTGAAAAGCCCTTTGCACTGTACTGGAATCCCCTATTTTACAAAGATAAAAGTAAAGTTTCAGTACATAGAAAAGTAAATTAGAGACATATTTCAAAAATATACCCATTAGTAATAAGAAGGGGGGATTTACCATTAGGCAATTGCCTAGGGCCCCATGAAACTCTGTTTACATGTATGATAATACATAATAATACATAAATACAATAATACATAAATACATGTTAATAATTCCTTATTTGTGAACATTAATTATTCGCTAAAATGCCATCAGAAAGCTTAAACCAGGGGTAACCAATAAAAAAATCAGCGGGGTCCGAATAAAGAATATCATCAACCAGCAAAGGTCTGGAGACATTTTTAATTATAATCTGTAATTTTAAACAGAATTTAACACCAAGTGTTTTTTGAATTAGGGAACAAGAATTTTTTTTTTTTGTTTGGTTTATAGATAATTTCCTGATTCCTATATTTTCTCAAACCCCTGAACTGATGGTTTGTTATTTTCTTTCTTTTTTCTGTCTTAATGTTGGCAGTGGGCTTTAGGCTGCCCTGCAAGGCTTTAAACCTGGGTTTAACCGGAGACTAAGCCATTCTCAAGCACATATCAAGGAGCTCATTCTGAGCCTGGATCCAGATTGATTGTTGATTCTGTTCATGGTGGAGAATCCTGCTTCACAGCAGCAGGTTGAGCCAAACATCCTCTAAATGTGCAGGGTCATCTTTGAGCACGCCATTTCACTTTTCTTTCACCAGTTCACCGCAGTTCTTCCAGCAGTCCACACTTTCTCTGCTCTCTTTTTCTCATCGTCTTCTCCTTCTTTCCCATCGCCCGGCTTGCCACAGGTAGGTCTCAGCCCCCATTTGAAAACAAACCATGCAAAGAGCAGTGTTGCCAACTTAGCGCTTTAGTCGCTATATTTAGCCACTTTTCAGACCCCTCTAGCACTTTGATTTCTAAAAAGCTCCTAGCGCCAAATCTAGAGACTTTTTTCCGCTACTGGAGACTTTGGAGACAACATCTAAAAGCAGCGAACTCTGCTCTCCAGAGCGAGTAGATTGGTAACCCCGCCTCCTGCTCTCCTCTACAGGTGCTGGTCATAAAATTAGAATATCATGAAAAAGTAGATTGATTTCAGTAATTCCATTTAAAAAGTGAAACTTGTATATTATATTCATACATTACATACAAACTCATATATTTCAGATGTTTATTTTGTTTAATTTTGATGATTACAAATGACAACAAATGAAAATCTCAAATTCATCATATCAGAAAATTAGAATATTACTGAAGACCAATAAAAACAAAGGATTTATAGAAATGTTGGCCAACTGAAAAGTATGAACATGAAAAGTATGAGCATGTACAGCACTCAGTATTTAGTTGGGCCTCCTTTGGCCTGTATTACTGCAGCAATGCGGCGTGGCATGGAGTCGATCAGTCTGTGGCACTGCTCAGGTGTTATGATAGCCCAGGTTGCTCTAATAGTGGCTTTTAGCTCTTCTGAATTGTTGGGTCTGGTGTATTGCATCTTCTTCTTCACAATACCCCATAGATTTTCTATGGGGTTAAGGTCAGGAGAGTTTGCTGGCCAATTAAGAACAGGGATACCATGGTCCTTCAACCAGGTACTGGTAGCTTTGGCACTGTGTGCAGGTGCCAAGTCCTGTTGGAAAATGAAATCTGCATCTCCAAAAAGTTGGTCAGCTGCAGGAAGCATGAAGTGCTCTAGAACTTCCTGGTATGTGGCTGCGTTGACCCTGGACCTCAGAAAACACAATGGACCAACACCAGCAGATGACATGGCACCCCAAACCATCACTGACTGTGGAAACTTTACACTGGACTTCAAGCAACGTGGATGAAGTGCCTCTCTTCTTTTCCTCCAGACTCTGGGACCTTGATTTCCAAAGGAAATGCAAAATTTACTTTCATCAGAGAACATGACTTTGGACCACTCACCAGCAGTCCAGTCCTGTTTCTCTTTAGCCCAGGCAAGACGCTTCTGACGCTGTCTGTGGTTCAAGAGTGGCTTGACACAAGGAATGCGACAGCAGAAACCCATGTCTTTCATACGTCTGTGTGTGGTGGTTCTTGAAGCACTCACTCCAGCTGCAGTCCACTCTTTGTGAATCTCCCCCACATTTTTGAAGGGGTTTTGTTTCACAATCCTCTCCAGGGTGCGGTTATCTCTCTTGCTTGTACACTTTTTTCGACCACATCTTTTCCTTCCCTTCGCCTCTCTATTAATGTGCTTGGACACTGAGCTCTGTGAACAGCCAGCCTCTTTAGCGATGACCTTTTGTGTCTTGCCCTCCTTGTGCAAGGTGTCGATGGTCGTCTTTTGGACAACTGTCAAGTCAGCAGTCTTCCCCATGATTGTGTAGCCTATAGAACTAGACTGAAAGACCATTTAAAGGCTTTTGCAGGTGGTTTGAGTTAATTAGCTGATTAGAGTGTGGCACCAGGGGCCATCAATTTTGAACCTTTTCACAATATTCTAATTTTCTGATATGATGAATTTGAGATTTTCATTTGTTGTCATTTGTAATCATCAAAATTAAACAAAATAAACATCTGAAATATATGAGTTTGTATGTAATGTATGAATATAATATACAAGTTTCACTTTTTAAATGGAATTACTGAAATCAATCTACTTTTTCATGATATTCTAATTTTATGACCAGCACCTGTATCTTGTCTGCTGTCATGATTCATGCAGCTATTATTTCATCCAAATGAAAAATGGAGAACAGATAAGCAGATCATGGCTTGTCTACAGTGAAAAGAAGGACTGGGTTATTTACTTTGGCCTTTTTGGAAACACAGGAAGGAGCAATCAGCTAAGTGAGCTTAGTGCTTGGAAAAAATCTTTCATTCCTTTAGAGACAGCATGAAAAGTCAGCTGAGTACAAAACATAGAGAGGAAAACAAGAAGAAAAGGGACAAGAAGAGAGGGACACAACCTAGAACAGAGAATGGATGTCTATTCTATTAACATTTCTATATCTGGAGAATGGGTCTGTTTGATGTCTTCTCCATTCAGAGGGGCCCCTGCCTGTCTTTGCCTAGGGCCCCACATTTCCTAAATCCGCCCCTGGTAATAAGTATATGTTGGATATATACAGTAGGTACATTTCAAAATGTAACTATTGTTGAAATTTATAGATGATTTTATATCATAGTTGAATTCCAGTGACTATTTTTTTATATATAATTCTAACCAATCGGGTAAAACATTTGACATGATTGTTTAAAATAGTCTTACCAGAATATTTAGAGAAATCTCGCACCGGTATGGATCTTTTCCTGATCTTTTTGGTTTCCGTTTGGACATAAATAAGCAGTATTGAAGGAGGACTGAACACAACTCCGCAGCGTTTGGCCTCTAAACCCATTTTCTTTACGTTTTCTGGAGAAGGTGGTTAAATATGTTCTCCTGCTGGAGCTTAAAAGTTAAAAAAAAATCTTAATTCATCATAGCGATAATATTTCTCACCAAACTCAACACAAAAACACACATTTAAAAACTAAAATAAACACAGGACCTTTCAGGGGCGTTACGATTTATCCCTTACGAGCAGTTTTCAGCAGAGCCTATCTAAAATTAAATAAAAACAGTCAAATAAACCAACGCTTCTTATTTATAAAAGTACATTTATGAACTTTAGTTCAATTCTAATAGATTTTTCTTTTAGAATTCTGGTATTACGACTTCAGAGCGACTTCAATTTGTTGAGAGATTTGATTTATAGTCAGGCAGATTTAAGGCCTCTATAAAAACTACAAATTGGTCCTACCAAATCCTCTTCCGTAAACAGTTCCATTACAAAATCTAACATAGCAGCAGTATGCGAAATACTGTTAAAATACACAAAAGCGTCAACTTTAAAGACTGTGATGTACTTTGAACTGTTTTTTGTGTTGATTTGTTTATCTAAATGTTATTGTTTGGACAGAGAGGGTAAGTAATACAGATTGATGTGAATGCATAGAATATATATATTTAAATAGTGTCAAATTGACTGTAAAGCAAAATAAATAATAAAAAAAGAAATGTATCTCTCTTTACACCCAAATAGATTTAAACATGAGACATTTTATAAACAATTTAAGCCAAGAGCTGCAAAATAACTACAAAGTAAACAAGAAAAAAAATTACTGTATGCTGACTTTTTTCTGATCTTTTTTATCTTTAAAGTGTTCATGTTTGCTTTTGCAGATGATCAGGACCAATGTGCTCTGCTCATAAAGTGGCTTCACTCCTCCTCTGTGTCCCTGGAAGTCAGCAAGAAAGGCTTCCACAGGTATGAGGCTCTCCAACAATCATGATGTGATGAAGTGAATAACAGTTATTATCTCCCCATAATGACCCGTTAGGTGGTGACATGCAGCAGGCAACAAGCGAACAGTTTGTCTCCCATGTTGACATGATGGAACCAGGTAGGACAGGCTGGCATAGAGGTTTGCGTTAGTTTGACAAAGCAACAGATAGATACCTGGGTTAGAGGAGCTCCTCAGCTGTAGATCAAGTTGCTGAAGCTGAATTTGTCAGTTTTGAAAGAAAGGCACATGAAGTCAAAGTTGCCAAGATCTCAGTCCAGTTATGGATCTAAGGGATGACAAATATGTCCGACCCTCAGAAACCTTTTTAACTAACCACAATGAAAGGATCTGCTTATATATATATATATATATATATATATATATATATATATATATATATATATATATATATATATATATATATATATATATAAACTAATTTCCATTGTGTTTTAGGGAGGTGACCACCACTGTTGATGTCAGACCAGAGGCACTAAGCAGTGGTGCCAGTGTTTTGCTGCTTCACAGATGGCCAAGAGGCGTCTTCGTAGATCCATATCAGTTGGCATCGCTAAGTGATCACAGTAACTGGGAGGTAACAAGACGACAAACATGATGCCGTTTATATATCCTTTATAAGTGCATGTTAACGTGTTAATAACTGTATTTGGTCTTATTTCTTTCAGATATTGTTAGATTCAGCCATTGATCTAGAACTTCCGGCTCACAAGACTTCAGGATTTTCTACCTATATGTTTCCCACCACACTACTTCCCAATATCCTAAAATTCAAAATTCCAGTCCACGGGCGCTACCATGAGTCGTCTTTTGCTGGAGAAACATTCACATCCGTTCACTTTGAACCTCCTGAGCTGCTGCTACGGACTAAAAAATGTAAACAATTCATGTTTGTTTTCCATTCTTTTTTTTTCTTTTTTATTATTCTCTTTATTGAAATACCACATATTACAACAAAAACATTTTTTTTTCCTTTTGTACAATCTGTTTTTCTATTCAGTACAGCTCGCCCATCGAACATAGGTACAAACATAGAACCTGAGGTGTTCTTTCATTTTTGTCAAGAGTAAAGAGGGTTGTTTGAAATTAAATAGACAAAGTTTCAAAAATAATTGAAAATTGAATCAATTAGATAAAGGAAGGGCACCTTGAAGAAATGTACGTTTTCCATAAATTCCAATTGTCTTCAAATTTTGATTTCTGTAACCTGATGGAGAAAGTAATTCTTTCCATTATGAATGTTTTGTAGATGATACCATACCAGTCCTCGATGGATGGGCTGCCTGGTTTTAGCCATTTCTTGGTGATTGCTTTCCTGGCTGCTACACTCAATATTCCAAATAAATATTTGGTTTTTGTGTTTGTCTATATTGAGTGTGATATTCCGAAAAGAAGTTCCTTCCAGTTAAAATCAGTTTTTGATCCAAATATAACTCTTAGTTCTGTGCAAATTTTTGCCAGAATATAGTTACAACTGGGCAACCCCAAAAAAGGTGAAAATGATTGGCTTCCTCTGAGCCACATTTCCTCCAGCAGCTGGATGAGCCTGACTGATGGGAACTCTGGGCTGGTGTAATAAAGTACCTACAGAGATTTTTCCAGGCAAAGGTTCTCCATGAGGTTGAGTTTGATATCTTTCACTGAAATTCACTATATTTAAGCCATGTTTGTTCAGGAATAGTCTTATTTGTCTCTTTGTCCCACCTTTGTTTGATATACATTGTGTTTGTCAATTTTGTTTCCTGTAATCCATTATACAGCCTTGAAATGGTTTTGAGTCCAGAATTCTTTGCATACGCACAAACAAACACTTTCAATAATTCATTATCAAACACTTGCTGGACATTTGGGATTAAGTTATTTATATGGTGTCTTACTTGAAGGAATCTATAAAAATCCCTGTCCTTTAATCCAAACTGTCCTTTTAGGGATTAAAAGTCACTCAAAATGCCTTGAGTGAAAAAAGTACAGTATGATGTGAGACCTTGTTCAGCCCATTTCTTAAAAGTCACATCTTGCTTGTTTGGGGTGAAGTCTTTGTTTTCCATTCTTAAAAAAAGATTCAACGGTCTACTTATCGGGCCAGTTCTATTTTTTACAAGATGAATTTATTTTTGTAAGACAGACAGAGAAATTAATTATATTACCTGATTGAAAAAGAAAATGAAGGGATCGTATGTCTCTGACCTGTATGTGATTTAAAATTAAGAAAATTAGCATCAAAGGTTGAACATGCATTTGTAGACTGGAAACTGATAGAAATTCAAGGATTTCAATCTCTGGCTAATTGATTGGTGGATCTTTTTTATGACAAAAAAATCAGATTTTATTTTCACATGCTTCAGTGTTGTGTAGGAAAATGGAAAATAAAGTGCAGATCGAAGTCAAACCTTGTAATTTTCTTTCTTTCAGGCACAGATCTTCACAGATTTGAGTCCTATCCTGTAGTAGATGCTCCCTGCACTGTCAGCAATTCCAGCACATGTTCATGGTTTAAAAAATCTCAGCAGCAGGTGATCTTTCACATACTCTCCATGAATAATTTGGTTAAAAAGAAAAACAAAGAACCCGATTGTCTTATTCTTTCCCTTAATAATTAAAAAAATGTCTTCTTTCCTTTAGGAGGGCAGCAGCATCATCAGTATGATGTTACCAGTTGGTGACGGGTCAGCGACGAAGCTCGTATGCAGCGGGACTCTTCTAGTCACTGGGATCTGCTCTGTGGCGTTGTCTAAATACATTTTAAAACATCGAATCATTTAAGCTGAAACTGTCAACAAAACTTGTGTGCATCAGGTTATAATGTAAAAATAAAGAAAGGTGTCTGGGACAAGAATCATTGTTTGCTGTAAACAAAACACAGAGCTATGCAAGGTGTGAAGCATACTAAGTTCTAACATTAAATTTGCTCCAAGGAGCTTAAATAGTGTTATTTTTTTGGTATTTTTTTCTGATTATTTTTTATTTTTTTTCATATCGGGTAGGGCTGCACCTAACGATTAACCTGTTGAATATTTTTTGATTAATTGATGATGAACAATCGGAGAGCCAAACATTCTTTAAAGAAGGCTTTTTAAGAAATTAAACACGATGTAACTCAAACTTTTCCACTTGAGGCGTTTTGGATAGAGCACATTAGAATAGAATAGAAAATCCCTTTATTGTCCCACAGTGGGGAAATTATGGTGTTTATAGCAGCAAAACGATTATAGAAAAAATGGTCACACAAATGTGGACCTTAGAAAAATGTATAAGAATAACATAATAGTGACGATTTAAAAGATAAACAATAACCAAATAAATCTATGGACATTTGAAAATAGCAGCAACATCAGAGATGTTCCGCTACGTTCTGCTTCCCTATGACTTTACAATGTAAAAACATTCTATTTTTTATTTTATTTTTTATTTAAAAAGACAATGTATAAGGATCAATGAATGCTGATCATTCTCACATATTCTGGAACTGTCCTAAAATTGTTACATTTTGGAAAAATGTAAATGAAACTAAAGAAGATACTGGGATATGATATTCCAATGAACAGTGCGGTGCTTTACCTTTGCATTTTGAACAATATCAAAGTACCGGTAAAAGACAGGTATCTGATTAAGATTTTGTTAATAGCTAGCAAAAAAGCTATCACAAGGAAATGGGGACAGGCAGACCCCCCCCTTGTCAAGAACAATGGACTGAAATAATAGAAGAAATCTACATTATGGAAAAGCTGACACATCGTCTAAGACTTCAACAAACTCAAATGGAGGAAAAGTGGAGGAAATGGACAAGATTCAAGACAAAAGACGGCGACAACGATTAAAAAAAATAAAAAAACTAGACGGGACAAAGGCCAAATAGATGAAAAGCTCCAAAGTGAAAGCTCTATGTTACGTTGAGTTCAATGTATATTGTTCATGTACACTGTATTTGTAAAAAAGTGAAAAATACCAATAAAAAGTTAAATGTAAAAAAAAAAAGCCAATATGTAACATGGATGCATAAACACCTCATTTTATTTCAGATTTAAATTCTGTTTAAAGTAACAATTATAATTAAAAATGTCTCCGGACCTTTACTGGTTGATGATTTTCTTTATGATGATTTTTAATTGGTTCCCCTGGATTAATGGGTCTGTTTGATGTTCTCTATTCAGAGGGGCCCCTGCCTGTCTGTGCTTAGGGCCAAATATTTCCAAAATCCAGCCCTGCTTATAATATAAATATTGTAAAACTTTTTAAATTAAATCTTTAACTTTTTTAATTATTTTTCGTATATAGCATTGAAAGGAGTGCGTGTTGTCAGTGTGTCAGTGTGGGTGATGAGCAGCCCAGGCGGGTTGAAGCGGCCAGGGTTGGGCCGGTGTAGGTACCAGATTGACTCGGGCTGCCAGATTGACTCGGGGGCCTGCGCCTTTTGATGACGTCACAATACATAATTGTTTTAACGTTTGCACAATTGCGCAAAACATTTTGATTGGTCTGGACAGCTTACTAAAGTAATTATAGCGGGGTGTAGGTTTTATTCGAAAGCGGGATTGCTGTTTGTAAACGGACAATTTTACGAAGACATTCTCCATGGTCCCTGCGCCTTCTGATGACGTCACCGAATTCGCCATGGGCCTTGCGCCTCCCGATGACGTGACATTATGGCAATGCCACTCAAACAAACTACATTGAGCCCGCGGTCTGCATTTGTAACGAGAATAAATTCAGGAGAATGAAGCTAAAGGGATACAAAAAATAAACTTGTAATATTACAAAACCAAAAATACTACGAATACAAAGTATATTCAGAGATTAAAGTCCCTCTGATACTGTTTAAGTGACTGAGAAACTGCAGATTTGCCACATTTAAGATGGCGGACGCTCTGACGCATCTCAAAAGGCGCAGGCCCCCGAGTCAATCTGGCAGCCCGAGTCAATCTGGTACCTACACCGGTAGTTCCGCTTCCCCCTGCGCCATAGCGGAATCCTCCAAGGGGCCGAAAACACTGATCCAAAGTTCCACTGTAAATAGTTTAAGTCACTTTTTTTGTAACCGAGGTATTTGTGCAAAGGCCATGCCATTCAGACCACAGATGTGACATCTGCGGCACTTTTAGCGGATTTGTTCTGGGTTTTTTCCAAGCCGTTGAGGATCGTCCCGGAGTGAAGTGAAGCGGTGAGGAACCGTCCTGTGAGCCGCTCCGCCCCGGCAGCCGTTAGCCGGCCGATTCAGGACATTTCCACGGACCGATGTGGCCCGAATATAGCTTATGATGGGCTGTTCAAACTATAAAGTGTTTACAAAAAGTTTTAAGCTAAACTCAGCTAGTTAGCCGATGCTAACTAGCTGCATTAGCATGTCATGCTAACCCTAACAGCTAGCACACTTGTTGGTCAAGCAGCGAATGCTAGTATTAGCATGCTAACGCCCTTGTTGGAGCTCAATTAGACAACATTTAGAGACAAATAAAAGGATATAAACAGTAATGTTAGCCTCATCATCATTTCCTATTTTCCCTCCTACTAAGACGGAGGGAAAATAAGAAATAAACTGTTAAATATCAGCTTCAGAGTCCAGGACACAAAGAGAGAGAAGCCTCCAATGTTTTCATCTCTTCTACTTAAAATCAGGGGTCTTCAATGTTTTCCAGGCCAAGGGCCCCAACTGATGGAGCGGGGACCCACTAATTATATATATATCGTATAAAATAGTGTTCTATCAAACTGGTCACTCTATTACAGATGGAGTAATGTAACTAAAGTAATCCCTCCCTGGGATTATTAAAGTATTTCTGATTCCTGGTTGATGGGACAGGTGTTGTGAATGAAACGGTGCCCAGCTTTAAAGAGCTCCTGTGTGTCTCTGAATGTGAGCATTGATGACTGAAAGACATCTTCTGCCTCCATTTATCTGTTTACTACAGTCTGTTGGATTCATGTTAATGTGGATTTAAAGACATTTCAATTAGTGGAAAAAATTGCAGGGTGGAATATAAAAAATAAAAAAAGCTTTCGTGACCCCCATGCAGGACCTCTGTTGCCCCCTGTTGAAGACCTCCACTTTAGACTGATCTACTTTACATTTATATTACTTTATGGTTTTTAGTTAAAATGTAGACATTTTGACTAGATTGGGAGGAAGCGCAGCTATGACCGTAAATCCAATGAAGCTCTTAACATTGACTCATGCTTTTGCAAGTTTGGAGTTTGTCTCATTTAAGGTGGCCAGATTTTTTTATAAATCCAATCTGGGGACATTTTCAGCTCGTCGATAAAAATAAATACATATTGTGAAAATTAAAATAGTAAACAGGGACAGTGATGCTTTCATTCATTTTTACATATTAATTCATATTTAAAGAACGTGTGTAAAATCCAGGAATTTGACTCTCCTATTTCCTAAGATTAATGAAATGAATCAATCAATAGTGTTTATTAGTGCCACCTGGTCATTCAGTCTTCTGTCTTCTCTCTCCATCTTTTCTTTCTAGCTGACTTCTGCCTGTTTTACTCTAAGTAGATTTTTCTCCCTTCTCTTCAGTGTCTCTATTGTCCTCTGCTCTCATTCAATCTTCTATCAGTCTTTATCTTCTTCCTCTCTTCTTCTATCAATCTTACACTACTGTAAAACCAAAACAGCGGTTTCTGCATGCTCCTGCTCTCTTTCTACCGTAATAACAGTCTACAGGTAACATTTCCCCCGTCATTTATACCAAGGGTAAAGTCAGGGACATTTCCAGGGACAGCTTTAGCCGGGGACAGGTGGTCAAAAACAGAGACTGTCCCTAGAAATGGGGACAGGCTGGTCACCATTACCTTGTTACAGTTTAATCTGATCAACACAAAGTAGGGCAAGATTATTTATACAAATACAAATTAAAGTGTTTTACATGAATTTACCAGTAAAATAGAAGGAGAATAAAAGCAAGTCAAGTTTTAAACATAGAGGTTTTAGATAATATTGAGGCAGAATACAAACGATGCTCAATTTTCAAATATTTTAAAAGTCAAATTCAGAATTTTTGACATGCTGTGAAGTTTTTAAGTCGTACTAAACTACTCCTTTTGGATTAATTTTTTTCTTAAGCTAAATTTCCAGTTGAAAATCTTTGGTAAATCTTAACAACTGCAATATTTAGACTCATTAAATTAATTTTTTTATTAATTCTTTCACAGTCTAAGTAAATATACATCGGAGAATGGTGAAAACCTTTATATTGTAGATGTCCAAAAATGGTTAAAAACAAAAAAGCTGCTGTAATCTTTTTTTCTTTTAAGTGAGGCTTAAATTAAAACAAAAATTGAAACATATAGTCTGTAGTTCAGGTATAAGAAGATGCCAAAGTGGTAATTCACAAAAATGATAAAATAATTACACATGAATCAATTAACTCAGCTGAAAAGTTCCTGATTCCCTTAAAATGTGCCTCACAGAGCAGGAAAACATCTAAAACTTTCAATTAAACAAACATAATTATATTGAGTCTTAATACTGTCTGCATTTTGTGAATGTCCATAGGAATGTTAATTTAATGGAAATACTTGGTAGGATGAATAAAAGGAAAATTAAAAACCATAATGCTGCCTATTTTTCGGGAGTTAGTACAGTATAAGAACAAATTTGTAATTTAGAGAAATAAACTGATAAGAATGAAGATCAAAGATGTCAAAAAGGAGCTGATTAAAGCTAAACTTTTCAAACTTGTGGCTGGAATTGAAGGTAGCTGCTGTTATTTCAGCAAATATTAGTTCAGTTGGAGGGTGAGTACAAATGCCCACCACATAACACTTTTATTTGCAAAAACATAATTTAACTCCATGTATCTTATCTTTTCCACATCTCAAATATGCATTTGTCAAATTTTGATTGCATTTTGATTTAGCCAGCTTCATAAGAGAATACACAGGGAAGGCATCAATTCAGGGAACTTCCTGGATTTATTTAAAAGGGAGTCTCTTAAATAGATGAAAGATTTACTCTGCTGTATTTAAAATTTCAAGGCAGTTATTCTAAACTCTAATGATAATAATTTGATTTCTACCCAGGTGCTTTATCTCCCCTTGTCTATGTACACTAATCCCCCTTCTGATGTGAGTCCTGCCCCCCTACCAAACTGTGTGCCATCCTCTCCATCCTGAACCGCTCTGTCCGGCGACCCGCTCAGCCTTGCGTGCCATCGGCCTCTCTACAATGTGTGATAACGGCGACTCAGAGGACAAACCCCCTGCCCCCCCCGGTCCGCATCAGCAGCACCATCTTCGGCACGGGCGCCGGCAAAGACTCGTTTTCTGCCAACCACAGCTCCAAACCGCTGCCCTCCGTGCCTGAAGAAAGGAAACAACGGAAAGGGATCATCTCAATCTTCTCAGGGGCTGAAAAAGGTGAAGAGTTGGAAGCTTTATACAAGTGATTTAGAGTCATTAATGCTTTAAAAGTATGATTAATTTCACTAAAGTTTGGGTTTCTCTCATGTAGGTAGGAAAAAGGATAGAGACAAGGAGCGACCAGAGATCTCACCGCCTTCTGACTTTGAACACACCATACATGTCGGGTTCGACGCTGTTACAGGAGAGTTCACGGTGAGTATGCACCAGCTGGGTGGTTCTTATTGTAACTGGTGAACCAAACACGGCATGTAAAGCTTCTTTCCTGTCTTGTCTGGTGCTTAGGGGATGCCGGAGCAATGGGCTCGACTGCTACAAACCTCAAACATCACCAAGTCAGAGCAGAAGAAAAACCCACAGGCTGTGCTGGACGCCCTGAAGTTTTACGACTCTACGGGCAACGGTCGCCAGAAGTACCTCAGCTTCTCGTCCTCCGGTGAGAAAGATCCTTTATCTATGAAGCTCCAGGTCACAGCTAACATTATTTCAGGGCTTTTTATAAAACAAAGAGCTCAGCGTCCTCCATGAAGTTAAGAGGAATCATATTTGATCTAAATTAAGTTTCAATCTAAATTAATCAAACCATGTTTTCACTTTCTGATCCAATTATTCACAGTCCTGGTTAAAATAGAGCAGCTTCTAAAATACCAGTTTGAAGATGATTTACCAAAACACTGCAGTGCTGAGCCAGGAGTACTTTCTAGTAGGGATGGAACTAGGGATGCACGATATAATCGGCCCCCTATCGGTATCGGCCTTAAAACTCAATATCGGACATCGGCCACCCCACCGATATTTAACCCGATATTTGATCAGCTTCTGAGTTTCTAAAGTCTAAAAAAAAAAAAAAAAAAAATACTACTTCTTCTTCTTCCTCTAAAACTTCTTTTTTACAGACTTAAAAACTTCTAAAGACGAGGGAAAAAATATTGATCCATTAAAATATCCCAATATCTTCATATGCTGATATATTGCCATTTAAAAACACCATATCAATCTCTTTTACTAATGAAATATTGCTATATGTCATCGTTATGCTACGAAATCCCCCGAAAATTCACCAAATGTTGCCATATTTTTATATGTTGATATATTGACGCGGTATCGATCTATTTTACTAACAAAATCTCACAAGAATTTGCAAAATATCATGAGAGTTTGTAACAGAACGATGAAATTTCACCAGATTTTGAAAGTAAAGTAGATCGATACCGCGTTTTTAAAAATCTATTTGATATCAGCATATGAAAATATATTTGAGTATATTATTTTTCAAAGTGTCAGAAATGGATAACAAAACTGCTATTTTCAATGACTACTTATTTTTGTCCAGCTTTAACATCTGTATCGATATCGGTTATCGGCTACATGAGTTTTAAAATATCGGCATATCGGATATCGGCCAAAATCCCAATATCGTGCATCCCTAAATGGAATGGTTCATAAAAACCGTCAGAACCGTTCGGTACTGCGACCAAAGCCAACCACCAGTAGTAAACAAGAAGAAGAAGCGAAGCAGCGTAGCCGGGTGTAGCAGAAAAAAATCAGTTGTTGTGGAGAATTGTGTGGGTATGGCGAGTGGGAAAGAACAAGAGTTGGAAGTAGGGTGGCCAGATGTCCGGCTTTAGGGCGGACAGTCCGGATTTTCATTGCGCTGTCCGGCGTCCGGCGCCACATCCAGCCGGACGTGTATTTGTCCTCCTTTACCCCCAGATTCTACACACTCCGTCAGCGCTCCGCTCTGCTCACGTACGTGATGCGGAGTACTTGTCTGTCATGTAAATTAATGAGAGCTGTTCCACATCCTCCGCTACTCCTCTGCACGTCTCCGTCCCTCACCGTCAAAATACTGAACTGAGCTCTTTTTTGGCTCCGCTCCGGTCCGTCCAGATCAAAACCTGCAATTGCAATCGCACCAAACAGGAAAAAGAATGTAGAGAGGACCCGGTTTTTCAAATTAAATTTCAGTAAAAACAGATTGGTAACTAGAAATTAGAGCATAATTCGTATATAATCCAAAAACTAAGAGCAATTAATTAAATCATTGGATGCAGACTATTGGTGCTTCAACAGACCAGGAAGAAGTTGTGAGATTCTAGAGCGAATCTCACAACTTTAAAAGAAAATTCTTATTGCAGGAATGGATGAAGAGACGATGAGTTTGGAAGCAGAGAACAAATAGTTCATACAAACTATGGATGATCCTAGTTATCCCTGTTACAAAAATCCACAGAAAGAAAATATCTGGGCAGAAACTGAACATCTGCTGGATGATGATGGGGATTTTTTTTAAATATGTCATATTAAATTAAACGTTCACAGGGTTTATACAGGAATGAGGAACTCTAATTTAATGCTCTTTTAATGCTATTAGAAATAATTTTAATGCCAACAACAAGTATCATGTACATAAGTTATTAGTTTACATGAACTAAGGAGCTGTAAGCACAGTTCCATGACTCAAGTATGTGTATATATCTATCTATATAGATAGATAGATAGATAGATAGATAGATAGATAGATAGATAGATAGATAGATAGATAGATAGATAGATAGATAGATAGATAGATAGATAGATAGATAGATAGATAGATAGATAACACGGTGAAATCATCTTTACTCTCGACAGGCTGCAGCCATGTCACCAATTCCTCTTTTCCAGCCACTTTTTGAAATTTGCATTGTCCTATTCTTTAGCTCTTTCTCCACCTCAAGCTTCTTTTCCAAACAACTGCTTTATGATCAATTGCAGCAGTTCTGTGCAAATTAATCGTGTCAAAAAATGGTCACTTTTTAAACACCACAATGTATTAAATAAATACAAATGCTTGGAACCAATTCTTTTTTAACATCTCTTTTATATTTTTCTTCTATTCAGCTACACAAGCATCATCTTTAAACTACTAAGAATTGTACTATAAATGTGACTTTACCTGAATCTTATGTACACCTTAGTAATTTATCGATATGCCGCACAGTGTCCTCCTTTTTGGTGATATAGAAATGGCCACCCTACCAACATGTCAGGCTAACAATCAACATATACCGAACCGAACCAAAAACCGTGACCACGAAACTGTGAACCGAACCGTGGATTTTGTGAACCGTCCCACCCCTAATTTCTATGGCCAAAAAAAAGAATAAAAACACAAAGTAGTGTTTTTACGAGGATTCATGCAGGCATTTGTGGGATCACAAATTATAATAACTGCGTTGCATTCTTAACAACATCCCAAAAGGAAAGTTCTGTAATTAATGAAATACATTTTGTTTACAGAAAAAGAGGCATTCCCTCCAGGACCTCAGTCTGTAAGTCATACAGGCTCTTTAACGCCACTCTCAATCTAAATTGTGTCTCTGTTGTGATTGGGTGATTTTGTTTAATTTTGATTTAGCCTATCAAAAAAAGCACCGAACCTTCATCTCCAAACATCAGAGACATTGATGACGATGATGATGATAATACTCCCCCTCCTATTGTGGCTCCAAGGCCAGAACACACTAAGAGCGTAAGTCAGATAAAACCCAAATAACCTCTTTCATCTGTTGAACTCTCCTGGATTTCATCCTGGATCCCGTCATGTTTTCCAGGTGTATACCCGCTCTGTTATTGACCCCATTCCCGCTCCAAGCACGTGTCCGGACGGGGACGCTGCCTCCAAGACCGGAGATAAACAGAAACGGAAAAGGATGACCGACGAGGAGATCATGGACAAACTGAGTGAGTTAATACCAAAGGCTGATCCTACTTCATTCAGTCGTTTTCTCACAAATATTTTCTTTTCTCACGATGTTGGCGTTCTGGTTTACAGGAACTATAGTCAGCATCGGAGATCCCAAGAAGAAGTACACAAGATATGAAAAGATTGGTCAGGGGTGAGTAACTGAAGAAGGAGGGGGATAACTTTATAATAACTATTTACCGTATTTTCACGACCATAAGGCGCACCGTACTAAAAGGCGCAGTCTCAGTTATGTGTCCCATTTCTGTATTTAACACACACATAAGGCGCACCGGACTATAGGGCGCGTTTTTTATATACAGGTACATGTCCTCTACTACCTTTAAATACCTCTACTGCGTATTTAAAAATACAGCGGGGGCAAAACTGAGTATGACTGTGCTTTATTCATGTATTTATTAAAAAGTATTAATCAAACCTGGCAGCTGGCCGTGAGACAGACACATGGCAGATGACACAGCGCTGTGATGACTCCTAAATTAACTTAAAATCCTGAAACCTGCCGACGGAATATGTTCGCTTTTATTACCGGTATCCTGGTGCCTGCAGTTTAAATTATTTCGATGAAAAACACCTGCCAGCAGCCGCCGGTGAACCCGGAGGCTGCCCAGCCTAGAGGCTGCTGATGAAAGGATTTCTCCTGTCGGTGCACCGCTGGTATGTGGGGGTCTGAGCGGCTCCGACAGAAATAGATAATCTGGATGAACTGACTGCAATTATGAAGTTTTCAGGTGGACTTTCTCACTTAAAAACATATTAAAACTACTTTATTCCCACTGATCACAGCAAATATAGCTGCAAGATTTAGATTATTTAGATGAAAAACACCTGCCAGCCGCCGCGGTGAACCCGGAGGCTGCCCAGCCTAGAGGCTGCTGATGAAAGGATTTCTCCTGTCGGTGCACCGCTGGTATGTGGGGGTCTGAGCGGCTCCGACAGAAATAGATAATCTGGATGAACTGACTGCAATTATGAAGTTTTCAGGTGGACTTTCTCACTTAAAAACATATTAAAACTACTTTATTCCCACTGATCACAGCAAATATAGCTGCAAGATTTAGATTATTTAGATGAAAAACACCTGCCAGCCGCCGCGGTGAAGAGGAGGAGACCCGCCCAGAGGCTGCTGTTGAATTAAGTTTTCAGGTAGAAAAATAGAGCGGGAGCAAAACTGAGTATGTTTGTGCTTTATTCATGTATTTATTACAAAGTATTAATCAAACCCATCAAAGTCATCATCCTCTGTTTCTGAATTAAACAGCTGCGCGAAATCAGACATGCCAGTTTCCCCTTCTTCGCTGTCAGAGTCACTTTCCGTGCAGCGCGGCTCCTCAGAAATAATGCCGGCTTTTGCGAAAGCTGGAACAACAGAGCCAGCAGACACGTTAGTCCAAGCATCAACAATCCATCCGCAAACGGTGGCGTAACTTGCCCGGCGCTGCCTTCCATTTATGCTGAAACTGTGGTCTCCGTCTGTCATCCATCGCTCCCACGCCGCTCGCAGCCTTACTTTGAACGGCCGCTTCACACCGATGTCGAGCGGTTGAAGTTCCTTTGTCAGACCCCCCGGGATAACGGCGAGAACAGCGTTCAGCAAAAGGTCCCGCAGCGCGTTTTGAGCAGCTGAAGCATTTAAGCATCTCACGCACCGCAAACGCGCTGCTGCTCGAGATTGAAAAATTTAACTTTTGCTTCTCGACGCGCCGCGTCAACCAATCAGAGAAGCTGATCTGGGAGCTGACAGAGAGACGGACACAGCACTGATGACACAGAGCACTGTGATCGCTCCTCTGAAACAGTTTATTAACGCCTAAATTAACTTAAAATGCAGAAATCTGCCGGCAGAATATGTTGGCTTTTATTATCCTGCTGCCTGCAGTTTGGATTATTTAGATGAAAAACACCTACCAGCCGCCGCGGAGAACTGCGAGGAGTCGACCCGGCCTGAGGCTGCTGTTGAATTAAGTTTTCAGGTGGATTTTCCCATTTAAAAAACATATTAGAACTACTTTATTCCCGCTGATCACAGCAAATATAGCTGCAAGGCAAAGAAAGGATAGGATAGCGCCGCCCAACGCGCGTCAGACCCACTTTTGCACCGCGCAGGCAGAGCAGCAAAGCTGCTTCAGCTGCGTGTCAGAACTAACTGGTACAATCTAAACTGCAGGCACCAGGATAATCAAAGCGAACATATTCTGTCGGCAGGTTTCAGGATTTTAAGTTAATTTAGGCGTCAATAAACTGTTTCAGAGGAGTGATCACAGCGCTCTGTTTCATCAGCGATGTGTCTGTCTCACGGCCAGCTCCCTGGTTTGATTAATACTTTGTAATAAATACATGAATAAAGCACAATCATACTCAGTTTTGCTCCATCTCTATTTTTAAATACGTAGTAGAGGTATTTAAAGGTAGTAGAGGACATGTACCGGTATATAAAAAACGCGCCCTATAGTCCGGTGCGCCTTATGTGTGTGTTAAATACAGAAATGGGACACATAACTGAGACTGCGCCTTTTAGTACGGTGCGCCTTATGGTCGTGAAAATACGGTACAATAAATCAAACCTGCCCAAATGTGCAAAGTCTAATCGTTTAAAACAGGAAAAGTTAAATTAGTGTGGCTTCCTAAAGCCCGCCAACTTGAATGAACAGAAAAAAAATGTTATGTAGAATTGGGGGTCAAAGTTCATCATCAACACATAAAGACTGGAAAAACGTCACTTTCTTTATCGACTGTTTGCTTTCAAACGAGGTTCCAGCTGCTTCAAAATCAAACTGTTACATTTTCAAACAGTTTTTCATTATAGCTTTGATTTTTAAAAATATTTCACACCCTGTAGTTCCTTTTATTTCTGTTTGAGTGAAAGAAAAGATAATTTCCTGAAGTCTAAAGTGGTCATTTTCATCCTTTTTACAGGGCATCAGGAACAGTATTCACTGCTATTGATGTTGCAACAGGACAGGAGGTAATGCAGGAGGAGAGATATGCAATGTGTAACTTTTTCTTTTTTATGTAACAGATGCAAAGTAAGTAGCTAAAATGTTTAAGATGATCTTTTAAACCCGCCTTGCAATGACAGCTCATCTTTTATGCTGCAGAAAGCTAATGAATCTGTGTTACAAATGTTCTTTTTCAGCGTGAACCTTTTATATTAAAGCTCTGGTGATTTATTCTGACAGGTGGCCATAAAACAGATCAACCTACAGAAACAACCCAAAAAGGAGCTCATCATCAATGAGATTGTGGTGATGAAGGAGCTAAAGAATCCCAATATCGTCAACTTTTTAGACAGGTGGGAATAAAATGATTCCTGCTGTGTTTGGTTGATTGTTTGTTTTGTCCAGATTGTAAAAGCTTTCTGTTCTATTTTCAGTTTCCTGATGGGGGAGGAGCTGTTTGTGGTGATGGAGTATCTGGCGGGGGGCTCGCTGACAGATGTGGTCACAGAAACATGCATGGATGAAGCTCAAATAGCTGCAGTCTGCAGAGAGGTGCTTTACTTAAAAAAAACATTTTCACACCTTTAATGAATTCTGACTAATTCAGTTCAAGAAATCAAAGTTGTAGAGAAATCATATTTAAATGTCAAATCTTTCTGGCTTAAACATGTTTAAGTGTTCTACATCAGCCTGAACACCTAAATTCGGCCAATCATATATCAACGGTCATCTGTCAATCAAATGTTTTCGGTCATAGCATCTTGATTCATGTGTCGCAGCTAATATACGCAACGGTTGAAACCAGAATCCTTTCCTTTCCCATTGAGTTGCGTCCCAGTGTTCACGGGGATGGACGTCTGTGTCTTCGGCAGGCGTAGAGCTAACAGAACTGGCAGCGTTGCGAGGCAAGGGCTCAAACATGTACGGCTGGAAGCCTTCTACACCAAACCAAGCTTCTGCCGCCCTGGCGTCCTCTTCCACAACATCTTCGTCCCCGCTTTCCTCCTCTAAATAAAAAATGGATGACGGAGGAGACTCATCCACGACCTCCGACACTAAACTCTCCTCCTCTTGCATGTTTCCTCTGTCCATAGCGTTCCTTGACAGCGTCGTTTCTAAGTCACCAATTTAGTGCTACTTGGTCCCAATGGAATTTCCCATTGGGAACCTGCTAGCACTAAGTTGCTAACTGGTTAGCAAGATGCTTCCGACAAACCAGCCCCATGATATCCGACCAATCACATTCACTTTATTCACTCGTGTAAAGTCGGGCACCCCTCGGGAGAATTCGGAAATGCGACGGTTGGAGCAGCCGCTTCCCTACGACTTTAAACTGAGAAAGAAGGTGGAGCCCCGCTGTGAGTCCTGATGTTTTTTCTCTCCTCTTCCATCTTGTCTCCAGTGTTTACAAGCTTTGGAGTTCCTCCACGCAAACCAAGTCATTCACAGAGATATTAAAAGTGACAACGTCCTGCTTGGGATGGATGGTTCCGTGAAGCTCAGTAAGTTCTCTCCTGCTAAAAGCTTTAGAATCAACTTTTTTAAATCTATTTTCTTTAATTAAAAGAAATGTCTTGTTTCTGCTACAGCCGATTTTGGCTTTTGCGCCCAGATCACTCCTGAGCAGAGCAAACGCAGCACCATGGTAGGTACGCCCTACTGGATGGCCCCTGAAGTGGTGACCAGAAAGGCTTACGGGCCCAAAGTGGACATCTGGTCTCTGGGTATCATGGCCATTGAGATGGTTGAAGGAGAGCCTCCCTACCTGAATGAGAACCCACTACGAGTGAGTGCTTTACCTCCAGATTTTATTTTTTAAATCTAAAGATCTGGAGCCTTCTGACTTAAATGAAGCAGAATTTCAAATCATGAACTTCTACTGTCATCCGTCTCTGTTTTATATTTCTGTTGTAACCATAAAACCTGAGAGGAAAGAAGAGATTTAGTTCAACTTATTCGTTTAGAATAATTATCTTTGTGACTTTTATTACTTCGATGGCACATATATTTTTCCAAATAAGAAATCAGAAACCTATGGCATGTTTTCAGCCCCCAGAATCATTAATTTAAAAAACTTCTTTAACTGCAGTGATAGTTTTTGAAGGTAAAATTGTTTAGGCTCAGTCAGATTGGATGGTCAGCATCTGTAAACAGCAGCTTCTAATCTCAGTTCCTAATTGAATTATGGTTGGGCTATTTTATGATGTTTTAGGTGCTTTATTGATTGACTTTATTGATCTCACAGTGGAGAGATGTGCTAATGCTTACAGACATCACATTTAAACATAAGCTTAGGTGGTGAGAGCAGAGAAATGTTTGTTTCTAACTTGGACCAATCAGAGCAGAGTTCCTTCATCCCTGCATGGCTCATTAAACTGCACATTTAATGGCTGACCAGCTGCTGGTTGATCTGGCAACATTTCCTGGCCTGAGCTGAGGATTTCATGGACGTCTTGTTCCCAGCTTGGAATATCGTTTTATAACCAAACTCTGCTTTAAACCCAGTTTTTTCTAATGTCCTCCAACAAACACCTGATGCCTTCAGACTACAGCTGGATTTATGCTGAAATCAAATAACGCACGTTTTTTTTTGCACTAATTGGGTTTCTTGTGAGGACAAAATGAACAAATATATGAGAATAAGTTAATTAGCATTATTAAGAAACGTAGAATGGAGCATAACAAGATATTAAATGAACTTTGAATGTTTTAAATATTATTTTCAGAAATAAATCAGCTAACGTATCTGGATTATTTTACAAAAAATCATTTTCTGTGAAATGAGGAGGAGTAGCGGCCTAGTGGTTAGGGCATCGAGGTTCTGAGTTTGATTCCCACTGCCTCCACTCTGGGTCCCTGAGCAAGACCCTTAACCCCACACTGCTCCCTGGGCGCCGCACAATGGCAGCCCGCTGTTCCCAATGGGGAGGGGTTAAATGCAGGGAGGGAATTTTGTTCCTCTGTACTTGTGACAGTGTAAAGGCATTAAAGTTTAATTCTAATTTTAAATAAATATATTACGGCTATTGAAAATAGGAATGTGGTGGTTGAAAGATTTAATCATTTGTAAACGTGGGTCTAAGTCTGGCGAAGGAAATAAAAAATGCATCATCAGCATAGAATAGAATAGGTGAGATCTGTGGACCTAAAACTGTTAATTCAATATTTCTAAAGTCGGTAGAAGAAAAACGGATTATTGAAACAGTTAAATGTAAAAATGAACTTTGATATAACTTTAGAAGAGAAGGTTAATTTATGGAATCATGTCTCCTTTAACACGTCTATTTAATCTATCATTCGGAACAGGTACATTTAGTTTTATTTAGTTATTCCTTTACAAAAAACAGAATGTATTCATGATTTTACTAATTAACGGCTTCTTTAAAGGCGTTTCTTTACTTTCACAATGTTATAAGATCATGGAAAAACTGTTTGTGAAAAGTCTTTAGGACTTTAATGAAAAAAAGCAATAATTTCATGGAAAAATCAAAACTCATGAAACTTATGGAATTTTAAATGACTTTGGTAATGTTTAAATCTAAAAACAATTTAATTCCAAAGAATATTCAAAATATCTGTCCTAGGAATGATTTTATGGAATGCTTTAGATGATTAAATTAAGAAAAGTACAGATATTGCACTGTTCAAGAGAAAATATGAGAAATATATAAATAATGTGTATAAATATGAATGTGAGAAAATGTTCTGCTAATTTCTTTCACATTAAGCTCTGATCTAGAGAGGACGGTAATCTGTATTAGCTTGTATTTTTATATATCTTAATATTGTGGCCATACAGGCATATTTCTGTGCACATCTACACCTATGCATGTCAGATTTTAACTTTTTTAAATTAAAAACTTGTATAATGATACAGCGACAGGATTGGATCAACTATTGAATCTTCCTGCTTCCTTTTGAACTAAAAATAATTTACTTCCAAAAGAATATTCAAAATAGCTGTCCTGGGAATGATTTTATGGATTTTTTTTTTTTTTTGGGATGTTTTATGTTGTTATTAATGGTGTTTATTTTTGTAAGTGCCGTATAAATTCTATTCAGTTTATTTCTATAGCTCCAATTCACATCATGTCATCTCAGGTCACTTTCCAGTTCACCAGATCATCCAGTCAGATTGATTCAAAGTTTTCTATCTAAGGAAAACCAGCTGATTGCATCGACTCATTGACTCTTCAGCAATCCCTCACACTAAGCATGCTTGTAGCGACAGTGGAGAGGAAAAATTCCCTTTGAACAGGAAGAAACCTCCAGCAGAACCAGGCTCAGTGTGAGCGGCCATCGGCTGAGGCCCACTGGGGTTCAAGGAGACAGTATATGTGAACATATCATAAAGAATCCGTGTATGGTTTGTTCTTTGTTTTTTTCATTTAAAAACAAAAACGAAAAAACAAAACAAGCATGTGGTTTTTTGTTTTTCCGTTTTTAAAACGAAATTAGAAAAACGGCATTTGCAAAAATGAAAAAAGGGTACGTTTTGGGATTTTTTTTAACTGCAATGGTTAAACCAAAGGCAATCTTGTGTTTTATTGTTAATTCAACGGACCTTATGGCAGAACCGGAAATGAAGACCTGAACTCCCAACACATAACTTTTTTAGTTACCAGTAGGTGGCGGTAATGTACGCCTTCAATTTCTTGCCAACTGCCATTACAATCCACAAGAAGAACTTTTTCAGTTAGCACTACCAAAATGGAAACGTTTGTGTTATTTAGAGGGAATTGGCGGCTTCATGGCAGCTCAAAGCATCACTGATTTCAGAGTGTTTTTCCTCTCTCAAAAAGTTCGATAATCAATGCAGAAAACGATTCAAGCCATTGCCTTTTGTTTAGAAATGTTTTGTTTTGATGCCGTCTTCATCCGCTGTAAATGATTTTTCTTTGGCGACTTACTTCATTTCCGGTACCGCTACATATTAAAACAACAACCGTATTTTATTTTCATGTTGATGGCGAAACAAAACTCAAACTCTGTTGAGTTTAATCCGATTTTTCATTTTTTTCAATTTAGGTTTTAAAAACGGAAAAACAGAAAAACCACATGCTTGTTTTGTTTTTTCGTTTTTGTTTTGAAACGAAAAACCAAAGAACGAACCATACACGGATTATAAATTTGTAACCATGAATAGTTTTTCTTCTACTTCACACCTCTGAGCTCCTTTTTTTTGTTTTTGTGCAGAATACCATAAAATATTCCACTGAAATGAGTAGCTGCAGCGAAAGCTAAAAAAGGTTTAATACGACGTAAATCAGACGTTTCTTCTTATTTCTAACCCTTCGACAGGCGTTATACCTGATCGCCACAAATGGCACTCCAGAGCTCCAGAATCCAGAGAAACTGTCTCCAGTTTTCAGAGACTTCCTGAACCGCTGCCTGGAAATGGATGTAGAGAAAAGAGGCGGAGGCAAAGAGCTCCTACAGGTAATAACCCCCCCCCCATGTTAATCATGCTGGATTTGTTCCTCCAACGCCTGAACTTTTCATTCTGTGTCCCGCTGCTCAGCATCCGTTCCTGAAGCTGGCAAAGCCCCTCTCCAGTCTCACCCCTCTGATCCTGGCAGCCAAGGAGGCCATGAAGGGCAGTCGTTAACGGATGACCCCGCCCCCCCACCCTGCCTTACCATGCTGTGCACAGATATGTGCCAACCGTTTAGATTTCGTGCCAGACAATAGGCTAAGAGTGACTTGCCAGCGTTGATGCACCAGCCTTGTAAGCCCTGACGAACCTCACTGTGAAGACCAAAAAGCCCAGAGCACAACCCCCCCCCCCCCCACCCCCACCCCCGCTGTCAACACCAACTCTTCTTTTCTCTTTGACGTCAGAAGACGAGTCAAACTAAAGTGCTTAGTTCCAGCGTCAGGCGTAGTTCATTTTCTACATCAAAACTGGTGACAGGTTAGGACTAGGCTTGTATTTAACTTGGAATGAAGAAGATGCCTAGTTCCGTTTAGTCGTTTTTGGGTTTTTTTAATCAGCTGCCTTAAACAAATGCAAAACGTTGCCTAATGTATTGTTGATTGTGTCTGTGTCGTCTCCCTTCATTTTTACTACCTTTGTAATTTACATTTTCACTTTTGTCAGTATCGTAGTTATTTTGATACTTGAATTTCCTGTCCACCCCCCTCCCCCATTTGGTCCATACGGTTTCATTCAGCGGACGCTCTATTTTCTATAGTTGACCCTTGTTGGAACATTTCTCATTACGGTTTTATAGGAAACGTTTCGGTGCATTTTTCATCATGATCCCGGGCTGAGATCGGGATGTTTCGCTGTTTCCCCTGATGGATCTACTGTACCTGTTCTTCCCTCATATCTGTAGTGTCCTGATGCCAGAGGCGCACCTTACAGGCAATTAAAGCGTTAGATCGACAGGGTTTATACTGTATTCTCTGTTGCTATTAAAGTGAATATTGTATGTCAAACTCTGTCCTTTGTGTTCTTTTAAAGTGCACTTTTTTTCCTACAAAGATTGTTTATTTATTGTTTAGCTAGAAAACCAGTGACCATAACACACTAATCAGGAGCATAAGGCAGCAGAGCAGTTCTCTAACCGTTTTGTTTTAGTCTACACAACTAACAACTTTGTCAAAACACAAATAAACCCTTTGCTTTAATATGAATATGTTGTGAGCTTATTTCTGCCTAATATTTGAAGTGAATTAACTTGTTTACATCAAGCTGACCAGACGTTAGAATCAGCTCTAATAGCAGCTGTTTTTATTATAGAATCCATCCAGTTCAATCATGTAGTAAAAAAATATGACATATCTGGCAGAACAATAAAATATTCAATAAATTAAAGCTTAAGAAACATTTTCAGATCTTATTTCTGTACCCTATAAATTTAAAATCATGAGGCTGGTCTTTCGTTTGCTTGATTTCTTTGTAAATTTGGATTTGATTTAGTCGAGTAGCTCCACCTTTGCACCTTTTTTGGCAATTAATAAACTCTAAGAGGAAATAAAATCAATTTTAAATGTTAAATCTGTTCCCATTGTTTCCCATTAAGCGGTGGGCTTTCTTACTCCTTCATTTTAACATGGTTTAATCCAGTTTTTCCCAAACTTTGACCACCAGAAATAAAGAATGGTGACACCCAATATGCTTTGTCTGATATATTGTATCAAGTAATCATAATTATTTTTAAATATGTAGAATTTTCTTGAATGGTATTTAACTAACTCATTTGTTTAAACCTTTTTAAATTTCCATTTTACATTTAATCACGCAATTGTGCATTTCACATCAAGAAATATTTTATTTTATATTAAACTTTTGGTTAGATAATCAAATGTTACTTCTTAATATTATGTGGTACATTTATTTCATTGACCATTTTTATATTTCTATGCAATATCTATTTTGATCTTTATATATATAAATGTGTGTGTAATTTGTTCGTCAATATATCTAGGATCACAATCCCCCAACCATTTATGGCAGGCCGTTTTGACATTTATTCGAAGTGCTAAAATTAGATTCTTCCTGCACAAAACTAAATTCCTTTAAGTCAGAAATGTAAATATATATTGTAAATCCTAAATATGAAATGTTTATTTTAGACATCTGTAATGTTAGGAAGAAATCAACTTAAAACACCTGGATCACATATTCATTTTTTTTTTTCAAACTTTATTGAACAAAAAAAAAATAAATTTACATTTTCAAGTAGGAATCTCCACTTTTCATTCTTACAAAAAAAGAGAAAATAACAGTTATATACAGGAGATCAACATAACTTGTGCAAGGCAATGGAGATAAATAAATAAACAGGCATTTACATTACATTACATACATACAAAACCAATCTCCAAAAGTATAATTACATAAAAACATATGCAGGTTTTATGTTCAACAATTAAAAGAGACAGACTCATTCTGCAACGAGACAGTTACTTGCATCATGTTAATTTTAGCAGTTTGTCAAAGCACCAGAAATTGTGACATGTCACTACAAAGTTTTTGGATATTTGCCCATATTTGTCGGCTAACGGAGATAAAGATAAAAAGAAGATTTTGAGTTCATTTTTTAAACTTATTAATGAAGGTTTTTGATTTTTTTTTTCCATTTACATACATGTACATGTTATCTTCCCATTCCCATACAATATTGATCATGTCAGATATGTCCTTCGCAATGTCATTCTTGTATGTTAATATTTGATTTATATCAAAAGGTGTTATATTTTCTATTTTTTTTTACCCGGATTACATATTCAGTCAAAATGTAGTTATGAATACTGTGAGCAACAAGAGACAATCAAACATGTTATGGTACACTGTAAGATGCATGAAAGAAAATGGAGGGAACTGGTTCAAAATCTTAAAAAAGGAAAGAATACACTTTAATAGAAATCCTATGAAAGAACTGTTATTTAAATTTTTTCATTATCTTAGATTAATCAATGTAAATGTACGGAAGTGGATTAGGGCCACCAAAGAAATAAAAAAAGTTAACGGATTTTTAAATATTTTTTCAGTTTAATATGGGAAAAAAGTCAGAATTCTGACCTTTTTTCTCAGAATCCTGACTTTAGCCTTAGGCAGATTTTATTTTGTCATTTTGTACACCAATTGTGAACAAAAAGAAATTTTGTTAAGTACAGCTCTCTAGACTATTTCATTTGTTTAAAATGCAGGTAAGCAGCAGTGATTAAAAACATCGTGATGAAAAAAAATGATCTAATCTCAGAATTCTGACTTTAATCTCAGAATTGTGGATCTTGCTGTAGATGTGCACCATGAAGGCAGAGATGTGGAGCACTCAGCTTCACTGACAGAGATGTGAGTTGTTTAGGAGAAACAGGAACACATTGATGGAAAATGGTGGAATTAGGTGGAATAAGGTGTCCGAGGGCACATAAAAAGTAATGCTATTTTATTAATGGAAGAGCAGAAGGTGATTAAAACAAGAGAGCTAGTTTAGTTTCTAAAACAGACATGGCTACAGCTGGATGCTAACATGTTTGTTAGCTGACAGAATTCAGTCAGAACTCTGAGATTAGTGTCAGAATTCTGACTTTTTTTTCATATTGTAGTGAAATGAGATGTAAAAATCAGTTACCTTTTTTTTTTCCAGTGGCCCTAATCCTCTTCTGTACAAAGGGTCTGAATCTTATTTTGGTCTTGCTGATTTTGTTTTGTAGCAGCCCAACAAAAATCCACACTCCATTCCAGTTGGTGGTGGTAATGCACTATTTAATAGAGGTGGGTGGATCGATCCTAGGATGGATACTATCGACACCAACGCTGGTATTGATATTGAACAATATTCGTTTAACAAGATCGATACTTTTTATTCTTTCTTGCATGCACTAACTGCCCAAGATTCACCAGTCTCCCCGTCCAGCTGCCTGTCCTCAGACGCTGGAGCAGAAAAAGATGAAGAAGAGGGAACGAAGTGCCGTTTGGCTATACAGGTGCTGGTCATAAAATTAGAATATCATGAAAAAGTAGATTGATTTCAGTAATTCCATTTAAAAAGTGAAACTTGTATATTATATTCATACATTACATACAAACTCATATATTTCAGATGTTTATTTTGTTTAATTTTGACGATTACAAATGACAACAAATGAAAATCTCAAATTCATCATATCAGAAAATTAGAATATTGTGAAAAGGTTCAAAATTGATGGCCCCTGGTGCCACACTCTAATCAGCTAATTAACTCAAACCACCTGCAAAAGCCTTTAAATGGTCTTTCAGTCTAGTTCTATAGGCTACACAATCATGGGGAAGACTGCTGACTTGACAGTTGTCCAAAAGACGACCATCGACACCTTGCACAAGGAGGGCAAGACACAAAAGGTCATCGCTAAAGAGGCTGGCTGTTCACAGAGCTCAGTGTCCAAGCACATTAATAGAGAGGCGAAGGGAAGGAAAAGATGTGGTCGAAAAAAGTGTACAAGCAAGAGAGATAACCGCACCCTGGAGAGGATTGTGAAACAAAACCCCTTCAAAAATGTGGGGGAGATTCACAAAGAGTGGACTGCAGCTGGAGTGAGTGCTTCAAGAACCACCACACACAGACGTATGAAAGACATGGGTTTCTGCTGTCGCATTCCTTGTGTCAAGCCACTCTTGAACCACAGACAGCGTCAGAAGCGTCTTGCCTGGGCTAAAGAGAAACAGGACTGGACTGCTGGTGAGTGGTCCAAAGTCATGTTCTCTGATGAAAGTAAATTTTGCATTTCCTTTGGAAATCAAGGTCCCAGAGTCTGGAGGAAAAGAAGAGAGGCACTTCATCCACGTTGCTTGAAGTCCAGTGTAAAGTTTCCACAGTCAGTGATGGTTTGGGGTGCCATGTCATCTGCTGGTGTTGGTCCATTGTGTTTTCTGAGGTCCAGGGTCAACGCAGCCACATACCAGGAAGTTCTAGAGCACTTCATGCTTCCTGCAGCTGACCAACTTTTTGGAGATGCAGATTTCATTTTCCAACAGGACTTGGCACCTGCACACAGTGCCAAAGCTACCAGTACCTGGTTGAAGGACCATGGTATCCCTGTTCTTAATTGGCCAGCAAACTCTCCTGACCTTAACCCCATAGAAAATCTATGGGGTATTGTGAAGAAGAACATGTAATACACCAGACCCAACAATTCAGAAGAGCTAAAAGCCACTATTAGAGCAACCTGGGCTATCATAACACCTGAGCAGTGCCACAGACTGATCGACTCCATGCCACGCCGCATTGCTGCAGTAATACAGGCCAAAGGAGGCCCAACTAAATACTGAGTGCTGTACATGCTCATACTTTTCATGTTCATACTTTTCAGTTGGCCAACATTTCTATAAATCCTTTGTTTTTATTGGTCTTCAGTAATATTCTAATTTTCTGATATGATGAATTTGAGATTTTCATTTGTTGTCATTTGTAATCATCAAAATTAAACAAAATAAACATCTGAAATATATGAGTTTGTATGTAATGTATGAATATAATATACAAGTTTCACTTTTTAAATGGAATTACTGAAATCAATCTATTTTTTCATGATATTCTAATTTTATGACCAGCACCTGTATTTATCCCATTAAAATGTGTTGACTAAGTGGGCTAACATGAACTAATCCTTTATTTATCCCACAATGTGGGAATTTAGAGAATGAATGCAACATGTGCGCAGAATACAAACAAAATTACATAAAGATTGAAAGATAAAAGAGGTGGATTAGGAAAAAACACTATGAACAGAACATTATTTATATTATTATTCAATTGTAACAGTAAAAACTAAAAAAAATCACGAAATCGCAGAAAGGTTCCATGATAAATCCAGTTTATATGTTAAAAAGTATTGGTATTGTATCGATATCGGCAATACTGACCCTGTATTTACTTGGTATCATATCGATTAAAAATTCCTGGTATTGCCCACCTCTACTATTTAGTTGCGTGCCAATAAAATCCCATAAAGAAGAACAAGAAGAAAGAATGTCAAAACGTCCTGCCATACCCGTTGGCCACATACGTTCCAATGCGCTACAGTGCAGCAATGGGCGTGAACGACGTGCTTTTATTCTGAAGGATACGCTCGGAAATCCGTTCAAGAAATGTGGAGCTCCAGAAGCCGATGCTGACAAAGTGACCGTTAGATTGTTTGAGACTTCTGTGCGCCATGGCAGGCCATTTGAAAGATAAAGAAGCTTACCAAAGACTTAACTACCTCTACCAGGTAAGGGGAGTGATTAAACGAAATGGCGCTAGCCCTAGCATGCTAGCTAGCTGGCTGATGTGTCATAAATGAGACCAGCTGTGGTTTGTGTGTCTCCACAGGCTGCTCATTGTGTCTTAACTCAGAATCCTGAGAATCTGGAGCTGGCTCGGTTCTACTGCTTCACGCAGAAAACTATAGCGAGGCGGCTGGTTCTCAGACAGTAGGTACCACACATTTATGGTTCTTCTTCTTTTCTATTATGGCGGATCACAAGCAACTTTAAGGTGCATACCGCCACCTACTGTACATGAGTGTGTAGCAGCGTTACTTCACATCTATTAGATTCTATTTTTTAATTTTGTATTCTTAAGATACATAAACAATGCTTTCCTTAGTTTATGAATATCTGTTATGTTTCCTTCATTTCCTAATATTCCTTTAAGATTCCATTCATGCCCTATACTTCTACCTATTCTCTTTAATTCTTTCCTTTCGTGTTCATATAACTTATAGTTCATCAGTATGTGTTCTACATTTTCTTTTTTACCACATTTCTCACATTTATCACTATTTTTCCTCCCTATTAAATAAAGCATGTCATTTAAGTAGGTATGACCTATTCTTAATCTACTAACTATTATTTCTTCTCTTCTGTTTCTTTCATTGATGCTTCGAATTCGAACTGACTTTTGCACTTCATATAATCTTCTTCCTTTCCTATCTTCATTCCATAATTTTTGCCATTCCTCCATTTCTTTACTTTTAATAAGTGATTTCCCTTCCCCTTTTCCAAAAGGAATTGAAATTGTTATTTTCCCCTCTAAAGTCCTTTCAGCTAATTTATCTGCCTTTTCATTGCCTTTTACTCCTTCATGTGCTGGCACCCAACAAAACCAAACATCATTGCCACCCCTATATAATCTAAATAAAATATGATGAATTTCTAATACCAAATCTTTTCTATTATTTCCTTCTCCCTTAATACTTTCCACTACTGCTTTAGAATCTGTGCACACCACCACCCTGATTGGTCGAATCTCCTCCACCCATTGCAAGCTTAATATAACTGCCACCATTTCTGCTGTGAAAACCGACAATTGATCTGATATTCTTTTATGAATACATTTTTTAAACTCTGGGATATATATTCTTATACCCACATAACCTTTTAAATTCCTAGAACCATCTGTATAAATTTTAAGGTAATTATTATATGTAGTTCTTAAATATCAGTTTTTATCCCAATTTCATTTAAATTCCAATCATTCATTTATGGTTCTATTTTATTTTGATGTTTTCATGAGCAGGGGGAATGACGTCACATCCGTGTTGTAAAACGTCGATCACAACTGAGCAAAATATCGAAAAACAAACAGTGTTCGCAACATTTACTGAACAGTTTATTGTCTTGATAATTAAGGTCATTTTAAAGCGCATACAATTTCGGTTGGTTTTGTAAAAAGTCACATATTAACTTTCCGGTGCATAGCGGTCACTGTAGTGGACGGCTACTGAAAAGTAAACATCTCTTGCGTCTAGAACGCTCTCTCCTGCCATTTTTCATTATAGTCAATGAAGTGGTCAGTCATTGTAACTGCAAGTAAATTTCTTCTGAATCTAAGGTGGCCAACAAACAGCACCCCCTGTCGACCACTGCTGGCATATCCTCTCAGTCCTTCTATTGTAGAAGAGCCCAACAGATAAAAAAAAAAAAATGATACAGAAACATCTAAGGAAGGATATAATCAGTTTGAAATTTAAAATGTTTTGTCTAATATGTTGAAAATTACCATTGACAATGTGTCCAGTGAAGTGGACGTCATGCATCACCCATTACAGTTTTTCAACATAAGTCAAATAATTGCTTTACTGGTTCTTGTAATGCTTTTGCTTATAATTCAGTGTTTTAACTTTGAAGATCTAAGCTATTAATTTAAAATTTACATTTTAGTATATTTTGTGTATACTTTGTGTATATTTTGTGCAGATTAGCTGTAGTTTGTGACTATTTTAAATTGAAAAATCGTCCTGGATGGGAAGAGAAACATCCTCAAACTTGGAAAACAAAGTCCAGGGGTTTGTTTTTTAACCTTTTTGGAATGACTATAGCAGTTATTTATATTGTAGACTTCAAACACAGCGAAGAATAAGGGAGCCTACAGGAAAGTGAGGGTGATGAGGGCCAGGCTACAGAGGAAGGTCAGCATGATCAGGAGGCTGTGGATGATGGGCACAGGGCACCTGACCATATTGAAGACCATAAATATATCTGGAAAATCCAAGACAATGACTGGTGGAGACTTGACCAAGGCTTTCATAATTCAGGCATCAGAGGGTTAAAGTAAAACGCACTGAAATGGGACATAAATTTGCTATAATAGGTGACTTTTTATTTTTTAATTAGAAATTCATTGATATGTGGGCGAGTTGTAAAACAATACTCAGAGACTAACATTTCTGTTTTTTTTGTTTTTTCTTGTTTTTTTTTTTTTTATCAAAATGTAACTTTAGGTAGAATCTAATCTCCACAATCAATAATAAATTTTTGAGAGAAAAATCTTAATATTTATTCTTTATTAATCCCCAACATGGACTTTATACTACAGAATATATCTAAACTGGCTTGGATAAAGGTAGATATTTTGCATCCAGGCTGAGCACGGTGGATGAATGAATGGTATTGGTACGGGCTGCTGATGTCATTACAGCATATTTAATGTTATGCTTTTTAATGTGGTGCAGTTCAAAGAAAAAGATTTTTCCTTAAACAACATAAATCATGTTTGACAGTTATGTTTTGCAACGGTAAAACCTTGGTATACTAATACCTTTCACTTTAATTCAGGACAATTCACTTTATTAAAATGTAAATAGAAAAACTATAGTGATCGATAGTTATTTTTAGAGAAATCTTTGGTTTTTAGTGAAATAGATTCACTTTAAAGAGAACAAGAACCCCTTTAAAATATTGGTTGTTATAAACAAACTTGGACCTATAAGGAAAATGCTTTGCATACCTGCAGACATAACCCCAGTCAGCAGATGGCCGCTCACACTGAGCCTGGTTCTGCTGGAGGTTTCTTCCTGTTCAAAGGGAGTTTTTCCTCTCCACTGTCGCTACAAGCATGCTTAGTGTGAGGGATTGCTGAAGAGTCAATGAGTCGATGCAATCAGCTGGTTTTCCTTAGATAGAAAACTTTGAATCAATCTGACTGGATGATCTGGTGAACTGGAAAGTGACCTGAGATGACATGATGTGAATTGGAGCTATAGAAATACACTGAATAGAATTGAATATTCCCCTTAATAATGGAAGAGGAAAAGCTTTAATTGTGAACTGTTTTCTTGCAGAGACCCATCAGTGAAGAGAACTTTATGCAAGAAGTGCTGCTCATTGCTCATACCAGGGGTTACTGCCACAACAAGACAGAGGAGTGAGTCGGATGGGGATTTCAGTGTCGTGCTTTTTTTATTTGTTTCTGAATCGGTGGCTCTAAGCAGTCCAGTTATCATTTGTAATTAATCTCCTATTTTTCCTATTTTTTGTTAGGAAAAAACAGAAAGACTCGCTACACTGTAGTGAAGTGCCTCAGCTGTGGCCAAACCAAGACTCTGCTGAATAATCCAGATCATTCTCTGTGGGTGGACCGACCTGAGGCACAGCTGGAGCAGCAGAAACAGGCTGGTGAGAGGCTTTTCTTTTTAACAAAGACGATGCAGGATTTCCAAACTATTAATCAAATAATCTGTTTGACTCCTTCTTTGCTACAGATCCAACCCTGTCAGCTAAAAATCAGCCTAAAGACGGAAAGGCTGAAGGTTCACAGTCCTCCAAACCAAAGGATGCTCTGACTGCTGCCAGCACAACATCTTTAACTTCAGAAAACATTTAGCTTTATTCCAGTGGATCTCAATGAATACATCCTGTACATTTGTGAATTTTTTTAAATTTTTCATCAAAAATGAACCTTTTTTTTGAAAATTGTTTTTATTTTTCAAAATGCATATACTCCTATTACTGTTCAGTTAAAGTAAACCTCTTATTTCTAGTGACCATTTCTTGCAATAGTCCCTTTTTTTTGTGTTTGTCACTTTTTCTTCTTTTCGGGTTTGTCTGCTTTTGGGACTCTGAAGCGCGTCTTCTGGAAATACAGAAGGTTCTTGGTAAAAAGCCTGGGAATGTGTCCCATGTAGAGGAGAAGAGCCAGCATCATGCCTAGAGAGTAAATAATAACACCAGGTCAGCAGAAGGCGTGTATTTACAGTCGGGTAGCTGATGTCATGTACCTGTGAGAGAGCTCAGCCAGTAGACCACTGCATATTCTTTGAGGGTGAACCCAGGACAGTGGAAGGTCAGGCCGTACGCCAAGGATGGATTCATGTAAGCGGACGTGTAGCTCCTGGCTAGGACAGAAAAAACTTTGAATAAGTCAGAAGGTTTGGGCTGTTTCCTTGTTTATAAACAGACTTGTTTCTTTAATTTCCATTTGATATAAAGTTTTGAGACTCACCTGTGTGGGAGAACAAGGTGAGAAGAAATGCGACGAGGGGAACTCTGATCAGAGCAGATCTACGTTGCAGGTTTAACTGGATGAGATGAAAGCTGAAGGCACAGAGGCACTCTGTGAAAAAGCCTTGAACCACAGAGACCATCAGGGAGGTGGTGCATTCACTGGACATCAGGTTTTTGATCGTGTGCATGTCCGTCAGCTCCAAGTTCCAGTAGTACCTGGCTGCGAGCAAAGCCAGGTGAGCCCCGATGAACTGGGCTGCCACGGCGAGGGCTGTGGGCAGAGCGCAGGCCTCCACCTGCAGGAACTTCTGCACCGCCAGGCTGGGGTTCCCGGGCGTCCCGGCACAGAGCACGCCGTGAATCAGCAGCAGGACAAACAGCATGGTCACCGTCACATCCTGGCCCAGGCCCCCGGCCCACTGACCCACCTCCACGATGGTCTGGATCTCCAGCCAGCATGCCACCAGCATGAAGGAGGAGGCAAACTCAGAAACAAAGCTGAAGCGAGGCCATCTTCTCAGGACCGTATGTAACAAACCGCTGAAAATCACCACAGACAAGAAGTATCCCAGTGACGCGTTAAGTCCAGACATGTCTCAGCGAAGCGGTCTTCAAAAAGAATGAATGAATGGTGGATCTAACTGTTGGGTTTCTGTTTGACAACGTGGCGCATGCACAGACACACTTCTTATCAGAGACACGTCAGGTTTGAACCACCTGCCAAAATACACACAGGCCTTCAGGTCAGGTCAGAGAGCGGCCTGTTTTTACTGACCATCCTGCAAACAGCCCTGCAACAGTTTTAAAATAAATATAGTTACAGCTCCATTGAACTGACAGGGCTATAACTTTCAGAGGGACGATCTGTCTAGTTGCTGGTTATTGATTGATTGATTGACTTCATTGATCTCAGTGGAGAAATTTACTCGTTACATCAGCTCAGACAGTCAGAAGAGAAGAAGGAAGAAAAATGTGCATCAGATTCCAGTTCACCAGATCATCCAGTCAGAATGATTCAAAGTTTTCTATCTAAGGAAAACCAGCTGATTGCATCGACTCATTGACTCTTCAGCAATCCCTCACACTAAGCATGCTTGTAGCGACAGTGGAGAGGAAAAACTCCCTTTGAACAGGAAGAAACCTCCAGCAGAACCAGGCTCAGTGTGAGCGGCCATCTGCTGAGGCCCACTGGGGTTCAAGGAGACAGAAGCAGACATAGAAAAAGAAGCATAGATACAAAAGGCAACTGTCAACCAGCTCCACAGGCGGCCCCGTCCAGGAAACACACAGCCAGGCAGACGAGCTCCGAGCCAGCTCCCATGTCAGAGGATGAAGAGAGCACATCCAGTTAGTCACAGTCAGAGAAACAGGACTACACTGGAAAACAGGCCAAGCTCCAACATCTAGAAACAAAGGTGTTGATGGCAGCAGCACAGCTGATATTTCTCTCCAGGATGGAGTCACAGCCAAACAGGAACAGACCAGATGAAGCTACTATGAGAAAAAGCAGAGAGAGCAGAACGTTAGAGATTGAACTAACAGATTCTGCAGAGTGGGAGAATAGAGATAGAATGAAGCAGAATGATGAAAAAGGGGTCCCTATGTCCTCCAGCAGTCTAAGCCTATAGCAGCAGAACTATAGAGATAGCTCAGGATGACCTGGGCCACTCTAACTAGAAGCTTTATCAAAAAGGAAAGTTTTAAGCCTAGCCTTAAAAGTAGACAGGGTGTAACACACAGTATAAACAGTGCATCCACACGACAGCTTCTTTTGTTGTAGCAGGATTATCATACAGGGTTATTGCACAGGGTGTTTACATGGTTATTTAATGGATGGTTAATCTGGAGTTGGCTTTTTAATGCATCCCTTAAAAATGTAAGAAATAAAGTGAAAATCAAGTCTTCTTTTTTGTGTCGTTGGAAGTTTAAATTATAGCAACCTTAAAAAAAATTCCAGTACTTTTTTATATGGTCAAAAGTTTTTAAAGTATTTATGGACTTCTGATGGTAAATGAAACCTATGTACATAATTTTACGTACAAAATTGTATTTTATCAACTTTGAATATTAAAGCATAAGAGGAACTTCTGTACGTTTTTCCATTTACCTGAAACTGCTTTAAACCACATTAACTGTATCATTAACAAGTCATATCAAAATGCAAAGTAAACAGGTCAGCGTCACTATTTTGATTTAAATATATTTGAAAGTATAGTATCTATAATCCAGTTAATGATTGATTACTTAATTAGTTGATTATTTCAATAATCGATTAATCCAATTAATAGTTTCAGCCCTACTGTCATGATGGGATTGAGATGTCTAACCCACATGCAGAGAACACTCAGGAGACAGAGAAAGAGTTCCAAGGTTTATTCACAGAGTTTTCAAATGTGCACTGGAACTGGGTTGGTCCGACTGGTCACGGGGTTTACCACTAAGGAGAACAGAGAGGTTAGAGGATTTCCAGGGATCCAGTAGTTTGTCGGGTGATTGAGTTAATACCTGCTCTGGGGCGGAACAGATCAGCAGGAGGGGGGTAACCCTGAGGGTCCAGAGGTTTGTCGGCAGGCAGAGGGCTGAGGGCTAAGGCAGAGACTGACCGAATGCAGGCAGGCAGATTTCAGACTGAGTCACTTTTCCCGGTTTCAGGTTTTCAGACAGGTCAGGTTATGTAGGCAGAGAGAGAGAATTGGATTAGGCAGGTTCACGCAAAAACACAGAGATATGATCAGGCAGGTTGGCTCAGGTCTAGCTGCACCATTACTGGCTAACACTCTGGCACTAGAGTGTCAGTCTCTGCCTCCTTAAGAAGGAGTCTCCTGATGAGCAGATTGAAGACAGGTGTAGCAGTCAGCTCATGCCCCCAGGAGATCTCGTGCGCCCTCTGGTGGAGAAAGTGGACAAACCTCCAGATCCCAACACCTACCACAGATATGGGCATACAGGTGCTGGTCATAAAATTAGAATATCATGAAAAAGTAGATTGATTTCAGTAATTCCATTTAAAAAGTGAAACTTGTATATTATATTCATACATTACATACAAACTCATATATTTCAGATGTTTATTTTGTTTAATTTTGATGATTACAAATGACAACAAATGAAAATCTCAAATTCATCATATCAGAAAATTAGAATATTGTGAAAAGGTTCAAAATTGATGGCCCCTGGTGCCACACTCTAATCAGCTAATTAACTCAAACCACCTGCAAAAGCCTTTAAATGGTCTTTCAGTCTAGTTCTATAGGCTACACAATCATGGGGAAGACTGCTGACTTGACAGTTGTCCAAAAGACGACCATCGACACCTTGCACAAGGAGGGCAAGACACAAAAGGTCATCGCTAAAGAGGCTGGCTGTTCACAGAGCTCAGTGTCCAAGCACATTAATAGAGAGGCGAAGGGAAGGAAAAGATGTGGTCGAAAAAAGTGTACAAGCAAGAGAGATAACCGCACCCTGGAGAGGATTGTGAAACAAAACCCCTTCAAAAATGTGGGGGAGATTCACAAAGAGTGGACTGCAGCTGGAGTGAGTGCTTCAAGAACCACCACACACAGACGTATGAAAGACATGGGTTTCTGCTGTCGCATTCCTTGTGTCAAGCCACTCTTGAACCACAGACAGCGTCAGAAGCGTCTTGCCTGGGCTAAAGAGAAACAGGACTGGACTGCTGGTGAGTGGTCCAAAGTCATGTTCTCTGATGAAAGTAAATTTTGCATTTCCTTTGGAAATCAAGGTCCCAGAGTCTGGAGGAAAAGAAGAGAGGCACTTCATCCACGTTGCTTGAAGTCCAGTGTAAAGTTTCCACAGTCAGTGATGGTTTGGGGTGCCATGTCATCTGCTGGTGTTGGTCCATTGTGTTTTCTGAGGTCCAGGGTCAACGCAGCCACATACCAGGAAGTTCTAGAGCACTTCATGCTTCCTGCAGCTGACCAACTTTTTGGAGATGCAGATTTCATTTTCCAACAGGACTTGGCACCTGCACACAGTGCCAAAGCTACCAGTACCTGGTTGAAGGACCATGGTATCCCTGTTCTTAATTGGCCAGCAAACTCTCCTGACCTTAACCCCATAGAAAATCTATGGGGTATTGTGAAGAAGAAGATGCAATACACCAGACCCAACAATTCAGAAGAGCTAAAAGCCACTATTAGAGCAACCTGGGCTATCATAACACCTGAGCAGTGCCACAGACTGATCGACTCCATGCCACGCCGCATTGCTGCAGTAATACAGGCCAAAGGAGGCCCAACTAAATACTGAGTGCTGTACATGCTCATACTTTTCATGTTCATACTTTTCAGTTGGCCAACATTTCTATAAATCCTTTGTTTTTATTGGTCTTCAGTAATATTCTAATTTTCTGATATGATGAATTTGAGATTTTCATTTGTTGTCATTTGTAATCATCAAAATTAAACAAAATAAACATCTGAAATATATGAGTTTGTATGTAATGTATGAATATAATATACAAGTTTCACTTTTTAAATGGAATTACTGAAATCAATCTACTTTTTCATGATATTCTAATTTTATGACCAGCACCTGTATCTAAGGCAAAAATCGCCTCCATCGTCCAAGATGGACGTATTCAATGATGGGGTCGCGAAAAAGGAGGATTCATTTGATTTTTGGTTATATTATCTCTTGTTGTTTTTTTATTCGTCTTTAAATATGCATTAAAATGAATCCTACATGTTATAACAAATTAAAAAATTAAGGTAAAAAATGAGATGCAATCCCAAAACATGGAAGGAAAAACATGGAAGGTATGAGCAGTACGAGAAGAAGGGGCAAGGGTAATACTGTCTAAATAAAATAGAATAGAAAAGAAAACTCTTTTATTGTCCCACAATGGAGACATTCTGGTGTTTACAGCAGCAAAAAGATTATAGAAGAAATGGTCACACAAATATGGACCTTAGAAAAAGGTTTAAGAATAACATAGTAGTGAAGAGTTAACTACACAATACGGAGGTACTTTTTATTAGAGTAATAAATTGGCCATATACGATTATAAAAGCAACCAGCCCAATAAACAGAACAAGAAACAATCTTTGTTCTTCATCTCTGCTGGTAATAAAATCAGCCATGAGGCTTCTTTACTATTCAGTTTATTTCTATAGCAGCAATTCACATCATGTCATCTCAGGTCACTTTATAGATCCAGTTCAACCAGTTAGATTGATTCAAAGTTTTCTATCTAAGGAAAACCAGCTGATTGCATCGACTCATTGACTCTTCAGCAATCCCTCACACTAAGCATGCTTGTAGCGACAGTGGAGAGGGAAAACTCCCTTTGAACAGGAAGAAACCTCCAGCAGAACCAGGCTCAGTGTGAGCGGCCATCTGCTGAGGCCCACTGGGGTTCAAGGAGACAGAAGCAGACATAGAAAAAGAAGCATAGATACAAAAGGCAACTGTCAACCAGCTCCACAGGCGGCCCCGTCCAGGAAACACACAGCCAGGCAGACGAGCTCCGAGCCAGCTCCCATGTCAGAGGATGAAGAGAGCACATCCAGTTAGTCACAGTCAGAGAAACAGGACTACACTGGAAAACAGGCCAAGCTCCAACATCTATAAACAAAGGTGTTGATGGCAGCAGCACAGCTGATATTTCTCTCCAGGATGGAGTCACAGCCAAACAGGAACAGACCAGATGAAGGA